GACTGACTAGATGCACTATTATCTAGACATCCCCAATCCCAGATTCCGTTTCATGCGCATAGCATGCACAAAAGGTGCATACTAGAGGGTATTGCCTGATTCCTACTCGGGGAAAAAAAAAGAGAAAGGAGAAAAGAGAGTCATCATCCACCGCCAGAGACACCAGTAACGAGGAGGAGGCATTGGTGGGAGGTGATATGTGGGGGTTAAGTCGTGTTTACATTTCCGTTGTCGTGCATCGATTGTTAAAGTAAGAGGATTGGTGTAATTTTGTGAGTGTAATAGTCTTCTTTTCGCGGAGTAAAGATGGTAAAAGGGATCGCGGGACAAGAGTTGAGAAGTGAGTGATCATGACAAAGCGGCCGCCGAGAAGTAAAGTTGAGATTATTATGACACAATGCATGCAAGCAGCACTCGCCATATACAATCTGCAACTTCAACTCGGGTGTGTCCTTGTCGTTATTCCATTAGTCCCAGGAGGAAGAGTGGGATCAGAGTTGATGTCAAGTGATTTAGGCCAAGGGCGGCCACGATTTCATGTCCGATAAAGGGGAGCAAAACGGTTGGCGAGTCGAGTGATAGAAATAATAACAAAATCCGATGAAACTGTATCGTGTCGTATTGCAGACATCATATGAGCCCTGCTCATGTAGTTATCATCTTCGGGGGAAGCTGAACCACTGTAGCAAAAGCGTGGTGGCATCATTATCGGCGCGAGAATCAACCCACGCAATAGGGATAAAATCGTTCTGAAGGTGAGGTAGTCGGGGTACAAACAACACGTGAGAAAGCATAACTTGAGGTAAAGAAGGAGAAAAAAAAATGATAAAGAGGAAATTGAAACGGAAACGAAGAGGGGAAGAAAAATCGAAATAAAAACAGGACGATGGCTGCGTTGAATGCTTTTGGTGATGAACCACAATCATCAAAAATCCTGTCCCAGTTCCAGCGGGGGAAAGAGGAGCCTTGCGGCAAACCAGATCTGGACGCCCTAAATCCGCCAAATCCGGCTTAAATACAGCTCATTCACAAGTGGTACGAGAAACATGAAGCAACAGCCAGTGTGCTTGTCATTAGAGAGTCTTTGTTTTTACTCTTGATCCTGCATCTGACTGCGACGCATCTTCTCAGCCTCTAGGTTCTCGTAGAGCAAGAAGAGCGCAGACTCGTTGGCCTTGGCGGTGCCCATGATGGTAAACATGCGTTCGCCGGTTTCGTCGTGGGGGGCCTATCGAGCGGTTGGTTAGACAGGTCCAGAACAGTATCAAGACTGACGTCGTTGGGTGAGGCTTACCTTTGCAATGGAGATGCGAGCTCCGGAAGTCTTGCGAATGTCGCTAATCTTGCTGCCGCCACGGCCAATGATGCACCCAACCATGTCGGCGGGGATGCTAATGTTTTGAGTCTGGATTTCCTCTCCATTCTCGTCGTGGGTAGGAGGGCCGCGAGTGGCAGCGTCGGAATCCGAGCGACGGCTAAACGGTCTTGAGCCTCCGTTGCTAAAATCAGCTCCATTTCCGGTGCGCATCACGCGAGGGCTTCCGTAGTCGCCTCGGCTACCGCCGTTTCCATAGCCGGTGCTGCTCATACTTCCAGAGCCGGAGGTCTGAGTTCGGACGACAGGGTTGTAGAGCACGGTGCCGGTGCCCCGCTGCCAATCGTCGACCAAGCACTTGGAAATCTCCCAAATGGCTCGCTGGATACCTTCGGGGGTGCCCTGCACTTCGACAACACGCTCGGTTGATTGTGGCAGCATTTCCTTTTGCGCAACCATGCGGACGCCAGAAACATCTTGGATATGCTTGATCTTGAGACCCTGTCGACCGATAATAGTGCCCATTTGGTTGTGGGAGATGAGAAGCTTGATGGCTGTATTTCGTTTTCATTTTTGTTAGTTGGGCCCTCTTTCACATACTACAGAGACGAAGAAAGGCAAAGGAAAACCACGTACGATGAGTGCCGTTGCCCTGGACGATACCACCCATTCCGACGGCGGGCGCACCTTCAAGGAGAGCTCGAGCAACGATGGCATAAGCGCGAGAGATGGCATCACAGCCACCAGTGATGGTGAGAACTCGATCATGAACGCCTTGAACGACCTTGCTGACGCCGGCTTTCACACCAGTCTCGTCACGCAGGTCAGCAACGTTCTTGCCACCCTTTCCAATAATGACACCCGCTTCCTTGGAAGAAACAATGGCGCGCAAGGTCAGTTGAGCCTGAGCATATTCCTCGTCCGTCTTAGGGGCAAGCTCTCCGTCGGGGCCAAGTCGTTCGTCCATTTTCAGCTGATCCAGAGAGTCGACGATATCGCCGCCATTGGGCGAAAGAAGATCTTGAGAAGACATGATTGTTTGTTAAGTGGTAGCGTGAGAGGTGAGGGGTGAAGAAGAGATTGTGGAGAGATGAGGTGGATGCGACGGAAGGTTTGGTATCAAGGTAGGAAAATCAGAAGCCGTCCTGAGCTATCTATTAAATACGTCAGTTTCAGTCCCTCTTGTAAGACAGCTTCCAGATGGAGAGACAGCTGTTCGTGTCTCAACACAGGTCGCGCATCAGACCGCGCGCACGGTAGAGACGGCTAGTGACGAAACGAAGCCGCTGTCTGACGCCGTCGTCTGTTCTGATGAAAAGTAGTACGCCAGCCTGTGTCCACGCCGGATTTGAAATGCGACCATGGTCCAACATGAAACAGGGCTATCAGGCTATCAGAAAAGTAGTGGGCTTACCGTGTATTATTCGAGAAGCTGGAAGCTACGCGAATGTTGACAAGACTATGAGGACGAGAGCCGATGGTGGGAGGTAGGAAGGTCGAATGCGTCGCCAGACTCTTTTTTTTGTGTGTGGTGCTGGCAGGGATTTGGCGGGGTCGAGAGGCGAGTGGGCAGACGTAGCAGCGAAAAGCGTGTCAGCGACCGAACTCGAGGGGCAGGTGGTGCGCAAGGAGATCCGGAAGTTGGAGGTCGAGAGAGAGAAAAGCTTGGGGAGAGGCGAAGAGTGTGAGAGAAAAGGTAGAGGCGGGAAGAGGTGAAGAGAGGAGACGAAGAAAGCGGGTTTGTGAGAGAAGAGAGAAGAAGAAGCTCTGGGGAGGGGGGGGGGGAAACTGAGCACTTGGGCAGGCAGAGCGCTGGAGCTGCAGCTGTCACTGCTGTGGCCACCCGAATGTCCAGCGCGCTGCAGCGGTTGGACCTGCTAAAGCTCAAAGCAGCAAAGGGTCGATGGGAAGAGCGAAAAAGGCGAAAAAATCGGAGACTGCAGGGCGGCGACAGGCCAGGAACGGCCACGCTCTCCGGTGGCAACCATGTACCGACGCAAGCGTTTGCGCAGACGAGGTACTTGTGTGAGCTCCCCTCTCGCCTGCTCTGTACCACATAAACTTGGACGCGCGCCACCTGCGGGCTTCAGCTTCAATCTACAGCGCGGTGGAGCTATGCCTACCTTACAGTGTCTGTAAGAGGAAGTACCTGGCACTACTTGCTCGGTACCTGGGAATCTGCCGGCCTGCATGCCGCTGGGAGGTACGTCAGGGTGCTTTTTCGGTATCGCAACCACCCGATCCAATTTTTCTCAGCGAGCTGCTCCAGCTATGCTTGCCTAAAGCGGAAATGCGAGAGATCCTGGCATATGTCTAGAAGAGCTTTCTATAGAAATTCTCATGTCTTACTTCCTTTCAAGACGGTATCTAATCGTTAGCATAGTAGTGTTAACTAATGGCTTTATGGTTTTCGAGTGCATTGAAGGGGTAACACAGACCATAACTAACATGTAGCTACTCCGAGAAATGACTTACGATTGCTTAAGGTAGCTGGGGCAAAAACAAACCACATGTGTTCAAATGTCATATTCATCAACATAGGCGGCACGACATGCTTTAGATTCAAGAGTAATTTATCGATAGTATCGACGTGCCTGTGGAATCACTGATACCCATGTCAATGAGAGTGGAGGAATTCCATCATACCATATGTGGGCTTCAGAAGCGAAAAGATGCCATCGTCAGCCCATCGATGAGGTTTGGGAACAAACAGCCATTTAACAAAATTCCTTGCCTTATAGGATCAAGTTCATGCAGCTTACTGCGGAGTTGCTCAAACCAGCGCTCTCTCCTTTTCTTTGTGCAGCCATTTGGGTCAATCAGCATCGAGATCCATCCAGCTACTGCACCTTTGAGCCGGTTGAATAGTGGAAGCTCTGTGAGCAACCAGTAACATCTGCAGAAGCTACACCAAACGATTCGTTGGAGACCACCCGCTGTATCACCATAACGCCTACTATCGGGAAAGAACGTGAACATAAGTGACGATGACCTTGCCCAGAGCCCTAGTGCAGCCACGAGTGTGGTGGAAGTTGGGGTAGCTGATCCCTTCAATGGATACTGTCTATATGAGGATGTCATATTACTTGTTGAATATACTTGTTGAATACATGTCTCGACTGGTGTGGTTGACTAGGCATCTCTCTGATTCCAAATAGGCAGCGCTATGTTGCACTGCATTTGATTTTTTAGCTTCCGTTCCCCTCACATCTATCACCATGTGACAAAGGCCGATAGATGCAGTGAATCTGTAGTCCCAAAGCTTGGCTTGATGTAAAGCCATCTAGAGAATGGATGGTTCATATAGTAGACACCATATACGTATTAAATCTCAAACTCGGCATATTCCTAGTCGCGAGTAATCGCTACATTCCTCGGGTGCATCGATGTCGTTCTCCTTATTATCCTTTCCTACCTAGTATACGTTTTCGTTACAGCGATGGTGGATAGCAAGTTTGGTCTTTATCGCTAACAGCTGCATATCATGCGAGACACGTGGATCGATGGCTCGAATCTTCTTCGGTATCATCTACGCACTATATGGGTGGAATATGAATTTGAATATTGTACTAGCAATATCTTCTAGCCCAACGGAGGCTGTGCTTTAGTGAGCACGAGTTATGGATCTACTACATGTATATAAACTACGCATCCAAAATATAGATTGCTGCTCTACTCGCTCGTATCAGCGCTGCCGCAATGTCTGCTCATGTTCTACCCAAAAGTTCTTGCAGGCCCTGTGGCCCCAGTGCTCGACCCACCATTCACCAAAACTGTCTTCAATGTCATAGTCAACCTTGGCCACTCTCTCTTCCCTTTTCAAGCCGCATATGATACATGGCTTGGGCCCTGTTGGCACCATCTTGGCTGTCTGAACCTGCATGTTCTCGTTGAGCTCAGGGACCTTGAGGTTTAGCTTGCCCTCCGTATTAGCAGCTGCAACGGCAGATCGCAGGCGTCCTACAAGTTCACGCCATACAGCAACCACGTCCGCTGCCTCTCTGTCTTCTCGTGCTGACTGAGTCTTGTCTATGCCCGCGAGCTTCATGCCCTTGCTACCAGCAGCCGATATGGACATGCTTTTGGCCAAGATCTTGTCTCGGTGCCACCTGTGTTTGCGGCCGGCGATTACTCGGGCAGCAGTGGTAGCCAGAAGGATATATGCCTGAAGGAAGTGTATTGCTTTGGGATTTGATAGGACTTGCTGCTTTATGGAGGCACTGTGGCCAGAGATTGGTTTGAAGAAGACGCTCGCTGAACTAAGAAGATTGGGAAAAGCGGACAGGATGACCGATGGGGGCGGCACATTGGTCGGCGGAGGGTCATCGTCACTCCCTTTCATAGCAGAAGATTCCGCGCCATCACCAGCGTCCCAATCCCAGTTCTCTGCCTGGTTAGACTTGGCATTTTTATCTTTTTCTATGTTCGTGTTGCTGGGGGTGTCGTCCCAGGCATCCCAGTCGTCGTCAAAATTCTTAGCGATTGATGGCTTTTTCCCATGGCTAGCCGGCGGCCAAGCAGTAACTGGCGTTGCTGATTTGGGCGCCTCGCTTTTCTTCTTTGCCGCGGCAGCAGCTGACACGTTTGTCTTGACTTCAAGATCTGGGAAAGGATTTCGCTCTTGGAATGATGGCGATTTTGGTGGATTTGGAACTGTTGACGGGACAGTCCCAAAGCTCAGTGCCCCTAGGAGCTGGGGAGGTGGCTGCTTCTTAGTTACCTGCGCAATCGGCTGTTGCTCTGGGGGATCATCGAGAGAGAGCAGATCTAGCAACGCTGAAGGATTGGAAGAAGATACTGGTGGGGAAGCAACAGCATTGTGTTTGGGCTGCATTTGTTGTGGCGGTGGTGGCACCGTTTCGAAGTCTCCAAAGTCATCTTCGTCTTCCTCTGGCACCTGAAGCTCAAAATCGTCCACGTCGAAGAGCACGTTGGGGTCTTTTGGGGCGGAATTCATAGAGAATCTTGAAGTGCCTTGCGTCTCATTCCACGAAGAATAGTCTTCGCTGGGCTTTGACTTGGGAGGCTCAGGCTTCGCTTGGAAGTCAACCAATGTATTGGTCATGATGTCGATGGTAGGGGCTCGGACCAGTCTGTTTCTCACATCAGGCTCTTTGGGAGGTGCGGAAAACTCCCCAAACGCGCCCCCAAGTGAAACAAAAGGCTTGTTTATCGTGGATGCTGCCGGAGTAGGCTCCGCAGTCTCAAAATCTCCCCAGCCATCATCATCGGCATCATTCAGCGCATGAGAAGCTGGTGTCGTCTGTGATAAGGCTGGAGGCGTTGTCCACCTGCCAGCTCCGCTTGGCTGAGACGGAATGGAGGGCCAGCTCTCAATTGGCGAGGCTGTTGCCGCTGTAAAGTCGTTGAAGCCAAAGCCGAAGTGGTTCTTTGCCGCAGGCGGATTCCCCTGGACGCCCGAAATGGGTGGCTGTTGTTGTTGTGGAGGTGGCGGATTGCTGTTGGCAAACTCGGCAAACAAATCAGCCGACATATTGGGGAATTTCAAGATGCATGCTACAGGCTACTGGTGAGAAGAGATGAAAGAAAGCGATAGCACAATGGTAGAAGACTTGCTTCTCGTTCGCCCTGCAGAAATGCGCGAGACTTTATACAAAAGTACGTAAGCAATGATGTCTTTCGAAAGCATGGAGAGGACGGTTCGGACGGAACTAAGCGGTGGACACGGTGGACGCGGTGGACGGTGCCTCAAGCCCGAAGACCCGAGTACTGGGACATATGCACCAAAGCACCTAGCCTCGCTGCTGCAGGTGCCATTAGGCATGCGGCATCCAGTGCCGAGCCGGAGATCTAGCGCTAGCCATCCGCCTACAGCGATTTGAAGCTGCTGAACATGCATGTACCAGTACACGTAAATCCGCGTGGTGATGCGGGGCTGTTGCAGCCCACCTTCATCTCTATCTTCGCACTCTCAACTGGATGAGTGAGTTATCCAAGACCGTCGGCCTCGCTGTAATCATCACTAATTTGGTGTTCCCAATGCGGCGATAGACTCATATTAGAGCCGGCATCGAGTGTAACATGACGATAAGATTGGTCGCTTAGCTCAGCCCGTCAGAACCTCCCACCCAGGATGAAGTCACTTGCAGAGACGCAGTGAGTAGCGAGTCTTACTCATATGAGAGTTGAGCGCTGAACGCTGACGGCTGCTTCATCTTGAAGAGCAAGATGGCAGGCAACTCAAACGCACTGCAACAGTGTCGAAGACTTGCAGAATGCAGTGCGCCATAACGGCCCTTCGAGTCCTTGCCTGTCGGGCAACCGCTCTGTCTGCTGGAAGGTGAGTTTTGTTGTCAGGTCTCAGAAATGGTGGCATGATGTTGACGCCTTCCGCAAAGGTCTTTCTTTTATCCAAAGGTGGAGATGCCACTGAGTTGAGTTGGCCTCAGCTACTTCGCGAGAAGCGAGAGCTGTATAGTGAACGCCGTGATCACTTTCTCAGGTTCATTAAGCATCCCGAGAGTCTGGCTGAGCTGACCGTTGATCCTTTGGCCGATGACCCCAAGGTGAGCAGAAGCCTCCAGACTTAAACATTGAGTCATAAACCGCTAATTCGGTCAAGTCGCCCTGGAATACCGTTCGCGAGGACGAAACTATCAGGGTAGAAATCCAGCAAGACGTACAGAGACTTCCAGATGAAGCAACTTATCATGAAGATTACATGCAGCGCATGATCTTGGATATTCTGTTCGTCTACTGCAAGGTAAACCCAGATAGAGGCGGCTATCGCCAGGGCATGCACGAGCTCTTAGCCCCGATCCTGCATGTCGTCGAACAGGATGCTCTAGATCGCGCATTGATATCTGGCAGCGATGACGAGAATGACCTCGAGGAGCTGATGCTCGAAACCATTGACTCTTCTTTCATTGAGCACGATGCGTTCATCTTATTCTCCCAGCTAATGGAGCACGCTCAATCCTTTTATGAGGTCAAAGATGCGCCGGCCCCTGCTCAAACACCCGACGGTCCATTTCAGTCTCGGTTTCCAGAGCAAAGCTCTGCCATTGTCGAGCGCAGCAAATTCATTCACGAGGTCTGTTTACAGCAGGTTGATCCCGAATTAGCAGCGCACCTTACAAGCGTCGAGATACTGCCTCAGATATTCTTAATGTAAGTGTTATAATCTGGCTTTACTTGGGTAGCTATCCTTTTACTCACATTCATGGATGCTAATTTGATGAAAGTCGCTGGATTCGGCTTCTCTTCAGCAGAGAATTTCCATTTAATCAATTTCTTGTACTTTGGGACACGATTTTTGCCGTCGATCCCTCCTTAGACCTGGTAGACCTGATTTGCTGTTCTATGCTGCTGCGTGTGCGTTGGCAATGTGAGTTCCTGCTTCCTTCTCAAAGTCTCTTAAGTCGCTCTAACATCCAAATTAGTAATAGAATCTGATTACTCTGTTTGTTTGCAACTGCTTCTCAAGTATCCACCTCCTGATCAACAACATGGACCTCATACGTTTGTCGACGATGCACTCTATCTCCGAGATCACATGAATACACTCGGCGGAGCAACCTTGATTAAAAAGTATTCAGGAAAGCTTCCCAAAGTTTCGAAGAGCCCTGAGATTCCTGAACCCACGGGCTCACCGTTTGCCGGATTTGATTCCTTCCGCAGAAGGGGCTTTGGGGTGAGGTCACCGATTCGCTCGCCAAAATTTCTCCAGCAACAGGGTGGAGTAGAAAACATTTTCCAGGGCATGCTGGAAAAGAGCGAAAAGCTAGGGATCAACCAAGCAGTACGGGATGCCGTGGGTGAATTCAAGCGAAATATGCAAGGCCTTAATGAAGGACTATCTTCGCCGCATCAAAGAGGCTCCTTAGCCGATGACGTTGCAGCAAAGGCTTTAGCTGCCATGGAGAAGCGAAATCAACAACTAGCGAGCCTTCTTGACGAGACGGTTCTTAGTCTCAAGGCGCTGTCTCTGTCCAATCTTGAAGATAAGGCCAGAAGCTTGGATCTAATCGAAGTTGCCGCAGCCAAAGTGCAATTTGTGCAAATATACCTACAGGACGCCTCTCTATCCATCCCAGCTATGGACGCAGCTGTTAATGAAGAGCCTCAAGCCGTCCCTGAAAAGAAAGAGGAGAGCAAAGTCAAGAAACCTTCCTCAGCCGAAAAAGAAAACCAGCCATTGTCGCCGAGGTCATCTACTACAAACGTGTCCACACCAAACTTAGCTAAAGCGCCATCGATTTTGCGCGAGTCAAAGAAACCTTCAAAAAATAGCGACTCGCTTTCTGCATCAACAAGCATTACAAAACATGAGACAAAGTCAGACACTGTATTGAGCGAAGTCCGTCCCAACGTTCAACCACTTGTCTCAATACCTACTAGATCAACAATAGCACAGTCTTCATTCTCGTGGATGCTGGAGCCGGACGAGTCCGGACCGCCACAAACCCCTGTGGCCAGCAAATCACCGACAATTCAACAAAAGAAGCGCATGAACAATGCGAGCCGCGAGAAGAATGCATTCTTATTTGGGGAGGGATTGTCAGAATCAAGCGAAAGGGATCCCCTGGGATCTGGTGACATCTTCGGGCTGGAGCCGATGCAGAGCCCAAAGGGGAAGTAAGTCATAAGATGCAGCACGAGCTACCTTTTTATGACTTTTGTTGAACATAAGGATATAAGCGACTGATTTCTAAACAAATTGATCCTTTTCCTGCATTTGCCGAAACACATCTTGGTTGTATTTGAATGGGAATCATGAAGTAATGAATCATAGACTGTCTTTGACTGGGTGAGCAAACTATCGTTTTCTGCACGCCAAGAACACATCTTAGAGAAATTAGGCGGCTATTTTTTTACTCAATAATCGTATATGCAACTTTTTTTTTATTCAACTCCAAATCCTATATACTCCAACTAGTTGGCCAAGGGGTTTTTTCGCTATGAAATCAGATCCGCCCATCGCCCCAGCTTTATAACTACCCATGTAGGTAGTCCAAAGAGAGACCAGGTTCCCTGCACCGCCCATTGAAAATAAAGATTTTTTTCAAGTCACCATTTACAGGTGCTGGTTGACGAAGGTCAAGAGGGATCCGAGTCTGGTGTAGACACCGGCGAAACCGGCCTCAGCACAGCCCTGGCCCCAAGAAACGAGACCCTGAAGAACGCCGTTGGAGTCGACGATGGGGCCGCCGGAGTCTCCAGAGCAGGAGTCCTTGCCACCCTGTGACAGGCCGGCGCAGAACATGTTGGTGGAGATGATGTTGCCGTACTCGCTGTTGCAAGAAGAGCGGGAGATGACGGGGACGGAGACCTTGTTCAGTCTTGAGGGGAGCGAGTTGGAGTTCTCGCTGGTGGTGCCCCTATTACACGATTAGTATCAAATTCAAATAAAGGACAGCCGATGAATTGCTTACCAGCCAGCGGTGGTCAAGGTAGTTCCGGCAGCAGGGTCAGAGCCAGAGGCGGGCAGGGTGGCGTAGCCAATGGTAGAGCTGGTCTGGATGGGAGAAGACAGCTTCCAGACGGCAACGTCGAAGTCGGGAACACCGTTCCTGGTGGTGTATGAGGGGTTCACGGTGATACTTGAAACACCAACCTGGGTGCCGCCAGAAGACCAAGTCTATAACACCAAAGAACGGTCAGCAATCATGGCTACGCGTTATGTTGTTCCAAAAAGAGATGGACTTGACTTACGAGAGATCCAGCGCGGACCTTGACCTGAGAGGCACTGAAGTCGACGGAGCAGTGGCCAGCAGTGACGACGGTGTTGGCGTTGACCAAAACACCACCGCAGAAGTGAGAGCCCTGAGAAGACAGACTGACGATGTAGGGGAACTCGCCGGCAGCAGCGGTGGTTCCTCCAACAATCTCAGTGCCACGGGGCTCGATGGCAGCTCCCAGAGCGAGAGCGGGCAGCATAAGAGCTGAAACAACTGCGGAAGCGGGAGCCATTGCGAGGGAAGAGGATCTGAAGTCTTCTTAGGATGAGATGAAGTTGGTTGAGAGCGGTGATGAATATCCAAAACCCAACGAGAGGGATTCATCCCATATTTATATATAATTCGACACGGGGTGAATGAGGCTCCGTGCTCCATGCTCCATGCTCCATGCTCCATGTTATCTGGCCTAGGAAGTATTCCGTCTATTGCCACGGTATAGACTCTTGACTGATACCCCAAAGAGCATACCGACGTCCAAGTAGCCAATCCGGTTGTACAAAACATCTCCTTCCTAAATCGAAGACCGCAGCAAAAGCATAACTGCATGGGCTTGCAAAAGATCCAAGGTTGGAGAAGAAGAGGCCGAAATTAGAAGGCAATGGGCAATGGCATATCATGGAGGACGCGCTGCTACTGGTTAGCATACCTTGCAAGGCTATGCAGATGGAGACGTACGAAAGAGAGACACAGCCCAGGGGGCCCCCGTCGCCCATTGATACTGAACACGGCCAGGCAGAGAGAGAGACCAGGGAACGATCAATACTAATACTAGTGCTAGCAAACATCAACACCAAGATAAGCGCCCATATTTGCTATACAAGATGCAACGCGGGTCCCCAGCTACGCGTTGGAACAACATCAGCACAGGTCATTCGGCCGGCTCCGGCAGTTTCGAAATAGCCAAATCAGCCTGCCGTATCTGTAAGTTGCTTCCGAGCTCGATCTCTGGGCTTGAAGCATCTCGTTCGTTGTGCGACCTTCTGGATTAAGCTGCCAAGACCGCCTAAGCTTGATAAAAAGCATAGAGGCCCCCCCTCCTCCATTAAGGCATTCAACTTTCAATACAATGAAAAAAAGTGGCGTCGCGATAAAGAAACCAACCCCCGGTTGCGCGGGGTAAATGAGCCCGAACTGTCAAGCTGGGATAAAGTAGAAACCGACGGTTTGAAAAACATGGGTATCCCGTTCTATCAATGCATGTGTTGCTTGCCTCTGTATGTACTCAATGTTGGTTCCTTATACGAAGTGATCAGCAGGAGTCATACCGTTAGTTGTCGAAGTTTCTACCAACGCCAACAGGCATTCACGTAGTATTAGGCACCTAAGGAACAACTAGCTGATTCCTTCTTGATGGCTGAGCACAAAGATTGTAGCATCGGCGGCCTGTTATTTCTGGACCTCAGCAAACAGTATCATAAAGGCACATGCATTATCGAAACTAGAAACTAGACGGGAACAAAGGCGCCACGGTAGTTGGCACCTAATTAGGCAACTCGATATCGGCCGCCGGCTAGATTGGCTTCGGAACAGCGCTCGATTGTGACGGGCGCCAGCTTCGAAAAATGATGGGACACGCAGATGGCGCGAGATTTCAGAAGTGCCTTTGCCCTTTACCGTACTTGTTCAAGTCAAGTTTTTTTCGCTGATGAATCCTACTTCGCTTAGCTTGGGCATGCGGCACATTTTAGCCTACATTGTCGCAGTAAGGTTAACTAACTATGGCACTTGCAGTTGAAGCATATAATTAAGATTTTAAGGTACGGTAACCTTTTTTTTTTTTACTGTGGCGCCGGTAGTGGTTTAGTATGGAGCAAAATCCCCCCAGGTCCAAACAGGCCGAATATCGGAGACAAGTTCAGAGTAGCATTGCGCAATCGCTCAAGAGAGAAATAGAATAGGAAAGACAGAAAGCTAGCAGCGACAAGCTTCTTCTCCCATCGCCAAGGTTGCAATGCAAGATGGGCGGACCAAAAAAAAGGTCCCGCCAAGACTTTCGTCATTGCCTTATGCGAGCGACCGGGAGAAAAGGAACCTTGAAGCCTTGGCGAGGGCCCGTTGCTGCCGCTGGCTTGGCGATACTATATATGCGATACTATTGCAAAAGGTTGGGTGAGACGGGCCTCTTGATTGGTGGCTTTGCGGTAAATGGGCGAGATTGCATCGAGGACGGCGTTTAATGACCTTCTCCGAATGACCTGCTCCGAACTTGCCTCCCGCGTATAAGTCGGCCTGGCTTGTGATTATCTGAACGTGAATTGAGGCCGGGGCAGTAATGCTGCGAGTCCTTGGTTCTTGATTCGTGAACAGCATGGAATTTGCCATGGTGGCGCAGTTGGAGTTGATAACGGTGAACCGAAACGGACGGGACGATGTGACCATAACTACTAATAGTTTCTTGTGTTCTCCCCCGTGTCTACGTAAGTGCTAAAGTCTCACCGTTATTCGTATCCTACCAAGCTCGTGTTTATATCTCGTGTTTATATACATGCATATCTGACTACTACATATGTGGAACGGCAACATATAGCTATAAGCAAGAGAATGCGATAGAGGTCTTTGACTTGCGCTCCTTTGCTGTACTCACGCTTACATATAGAACTTGTAGTAGTTCTTACCGCTTCAGAGACTTCTCTTTCACCCAAAATGTAGCAGCGAAGCATCCAAGACCAAAGAGTAGTGAGGGGATGAATGCCGCAACTGTAGCAACTTGATAACTCGCCCGCACCTGTTCAGCCAGCAGTGGCGGCAGCTCTTTGATGACGTCCAGACTCTGGCGCACCTTTTCCTCAATCTGGCCGGCATCTTCACCGATACGAGAGGCGAGTTGTGTTCTGAGGACTTGCTGCAGTACAGCTGAGCTGGTTCCAACGCCGATGCTAGCACCGAGAGATCGGAAGAGGTAGGAGCAAGCAATGGCGACTGCGCTGTCTTCCACCGCGGCGTTGGCCAGGAGGCCTACGAGAATAGTTGTGATACCTAAGAAGGAGGAAGAAAATAAAAAGTATTCATGTCAGCAGAGAGTGTGCAAAGGGCGGCAAATGATGAAACTTACCACTCCCATTGCCCACGGATGACATCGTAAACGACGCTGTCACTCCAACAAGCGAACCGTACCAGGTTGTAACAATCAAAGGTGTCATTGCGAGGAATAGCAGCCCGTAGCTGATAGTGGTGGGCCACCAGAATTTCCCTGTTCTCTTGATAATCCAGCCGCCGGTAAGGGAGCCGCACACCCCCATGGTTGTTGCCGGGATGAGCATTGTGCCACTCGTCGTAGCGCTGAGGCCCTTGACAGCTTGGAAGAATAGTGGTACGAAGAATATGGCGCTCAGCTGAGATGCCATGCCGAACATGTTGACCAGAAAACAAGGGAACAAGTCTCGGCTCAGTATGAGGTGGCCCGGAGCGAATGGGTGCTTGGCTATCTTCATCTCGATGAAGAGGAACAAGGCGGAGAAGACGGGCGTCAGACTTAGTGAGACGATGGTGATGCGATTGGACCATCCGAGATTGGGGCCAGAGTCAAGTCCCGTCAAGAGACAAATGACGGCGAGGACAAGAGTAAAGGCACCGAGGAAATCGACTTGACGAACTTTGGAGACCCAGTGATCATTGAAAGGAGGCTCGAGATCGAGGATGAAGTATACTGCAATCCAGGCTATCAAGCATAAGGGTGCCTGAATCATGAATGACCTATTTTTTGTGTTGTACTCCTATTAGCCTAGGTCCCGCCTTGGAAGGTTTTCCTGTTCACAAATCTTACCATCGCCATCCTAGAGAGTCAGCGAAGATTCCTCCAAGCGGCGCACCTGAACTGCTTCCAATCGCATAAATGATGTTGATGTAGCCCTGCCAGACGCCGCGCTCTTGTAGCGAGACAATATCAGAAAACAGAATCGTCACCACCGAGCTCATGCCTCCTCCGCCAATGCCCGCGAATGCTCGTGCGATGCAAAGCTGAGTCATGCTCTGGGCCAGGCCGCATCCCAAGCAGCCGAGGCCGAAGACGGCGTACGCGAAGAGGAGGCATGCCTTTCGACCAAATATGTCACTGAGCTTGCCGTAGAGAGGCTGGAAGCTTGTGAGCGTGAGAAAGTATCTTTGAATGCGTGTTAGTAGATTGTCCCTTATATCATCATTATGAAGGGTATTGGTAGCGAGATTCAATTGAGAATTACGCTTACGATGTCGCAATCCAGCTGGTGTTGTTCAAAGCCTTGAGCTCGCTGCCAATTCTGGCATAAGTTGCCACCGCAAGGAGCTGGTCAACGGCCACGAGAAAGACCTATGTGGAGTGGAGATGTACTGTCAGCAAAAGGTATAACGTATTCTGGATGAGGCGGTTATATACCCCAACACCAACAGCAGGAAGCAAGACGTGCATCTTGTCCGCCATGGGATGCTTCTGCTGCCTCTCCCCTTCGCCCAGGCTGCCATTTTCGGCATCACAGCGACTGTTGAGGACGCCATCTTGAGGACGAGGCTCGGGAAGAAGCGGTGTCTGCTCTGTTGGGGGCACCGCTGCCAAAGGCCCATCTGCGTTGGAGTCAGGCGATCTCATCTTGGCGAGAGCTACGAGTCAAACCTGACTGCTAGTTGATTCGACAGCAGTTGCTCTTCTATCGGCAGATCGCAAGCTCAATGTGCCGGTCAAGGAAGCATGAACCTCTCCCCATGAGACGCGTTGTCAAACTGTCGCACAAATGAATCGGTGAGATGTGTTGCGACGTAAATTGCCAATTGCCGGAATCAGCAAAACCCCCACCTCGGCTTTTATTCAGCAGGGGGCCTTAATCATCAGCATAATCGCCATGTCTTTCACAAGGCGTTTCCTCATTAAATAAAAACCACGCAAGGAAAAACGAAAAACGCAATCTTGAGCAGATATGGTAAAATACACCGAATGCAAGGGGATTGGTCGCTATCGATACGCCAATTGGCAGCCTGTTGGGGAGAGAAGGTAGGATAACGATTGCTGAATAATGTCCCAAATGCTCGGATTTAAAGGAAGAGGCTATCCAGCATCCCAATTCTGTTATCCAGCCCTCCAGTTTAAGCGTGGGCTGCCAGTATTATCTTGCTATTGCTGCTATTGCTGCTGCTACTACTGCTGCTGCCTACATGTACTACTGGTGCTACTGCTGCCACTGGTGCTATTTCTAAATATACAGTAATTTAGCAGTTGTGTACATGTATCTTGATATGTGGAATGGCCGCCTTGCTGCGCTACAGCTGGGGTGTTGAATAATGAGATTGGGGTGCGGAATTACGTCTCCCGATGTAAAGCGTGCTCTCTGAAATCTTAGACTTCATGTGAATGATGATTACATGAAGTCTGCCTCGGACATTATCTGCATTGTGTTCAATAGTTTTTTCGACTTTAGAGAAATGCGCGCCTTGTGTTGTAGACGTTCCCAATTGATGATGCTCTTTCGCTCGATGTAGACGTGGTAGCCAGCATTGTTCTTTCCACGCCGTGTATCACTCCAACGTCAATCATTATCTGGGTATCAAAGTACTCGGTATGGTTCATACTACCTATGTATGTAACTAGGAAGTTGAATGGTTTGCGATACTAGTAGAGAACAATGCAAGCAGCAGTACGATGCAACAGGCAACAATGATACAGCATAAGATGCCAGCAGACTATAGACTTCTACTCGTGTTCAGGAAAGCTCCACAGTGTTTCCTTGTCAGAATCTGGGGGAGGCCGATTGCCGTGCAGCTGAACGAATAGACATTACGAGTACGTACGACTGAGCAAGCGATTGGTCCTGAACTTGCGGCTCTAATACGCGGCGCAATCCCAAAACAAGTTCTAAAACATCAAGTTTTATTAACCTTGCAATCTGTACATAGTACTGCTGCGCTACGGGTAATTGTGGCCCGGCCACAGATAAAACATGACAGGATGGTGCCAAGAAACAAAGAGAGCGATAACGGTTATTCGTGATATCTGCCCCTTGCTCGTCACAACACTTTCCTAACCAGCTCAGGACTCTCTCTCTTTTTCTTCTTTTTACTGGTAACACTGCACTTCACACATTTTAGGCTAAATACAATTAGATGTTGTTTACAGCACCCTTGTTGTAGCTGTACTGTAGCTCGACTGTTTGGAGTACTTGCATAGCTATAAGAATTGAGTTTTAGTAGAGAAAAACATGTTTTAATTGTTAAATCATCCACCTCATTCCGTCTCACAGGGGAAAATAAAAATAGTAATAGGGAGAGTAAAGCGAATATCAGAGCGCATTTCTCATTTTCAGTCATTAAAAAGAGAGTGCGTGAAAGATACCTACTCTTGCATAAGGCCGCCGAGCGAGAGAGGCAAGAAACAGCTGCAGTTTTCTCTACCCGGCAGCAGACCACGTTTTGGACCCCTGCGCGGCACAGATGAGCCCGTGCGCTGCGCATATGCAGCTCTGCTTGTCCAAATGCGGGGAGCCCATTAACGTTAATTGCTGGCGCTGACATTCATTCCTACGTATCACTTCCTGCGGCCTCGATGTGAAACAGGCATGGTTGTGACGACGCTGCCGACTACTTCCCTGGAAGTTTGATTCCCATTTCTTTGTTGAGTCGTTGTCGCGATTCTCAGCCTGCTCATGCCTTCATGCTATCTTAAGCAGTGCAGTTCCGCAATAGAGTACGGCTACTGCTGCCGACAGTGCCGCATATAATCACTATCGAATCAAATGCTGAATACATGTAGGCGGCTAAGCATGGGCCCTCCGTCTTCAGCGCCGTAATGGAATTCTTCCAGCCAACGACTTCAAGACATCGGTCTCAGTGCCACCTCGTCGAATGTTGTTCAGCTGCCGTCGCCATCTGCATTGTTCCTCTTGCGCTTGATTCTGACATGGCGAGAAAACCGGTCGGTTCATGCGCTAACCTGCTGTAGTGACGTGGTGGCGCCTCTAAGGAGCGTCATTAAGGCGAATTTGGGCCGTCATCAGAGGTCGATCTTGAACAAGTCTACCGAGTAGACGTCTTTATTCGTGCCACGTATGTGTCTCGTGGACGCAATTCGATGCAGCGGTTGATGCAATTCAAGCAAGCAAGGCCGTCTGGTCAAGATGCAGCGTGCAGATTGACTTCATGTTCGCGTCGAGTACGAGCATCGCCTGCGAACAAACGACGCGATGGATGGATCTAAGCAGGCAAAAGCAACCCACATGCACCCATTGACCGACCCCTGGCTAAGACGCCACATGCCCGTTTCATCGGCCTGGCTCCCGCCTTTGGCTGGCGCCGTCAGGCCCAAGTGGTATTAGCCAGGGACGCCCACGGAATCTAAAACAACCTAGGACCGGCTCCTCGTCTCAGCATTTCTTCCCATGAAGTGCCAAATTCTTCTCAATGCGCACTCACGCTCACAATCCACCGGAACTGCGCTGTACCGGCTGCGAAGAGGACTCCAACTGCCAGTCGTCGAGCCACGCAGGGACAAGCTAGCGCAGGTACCGGCAGCTGAGCTGGGGCATCTGGGCAATCTCGACAATCCCCCACGGTCTCGACCGTTTTGCGTCTTTGCGTTTCTCGATTTCGCCGGCCACCATGTCGAATCCGTCCGGTCTTTCAGTCCCTAAAAGCGGCGTATCGCGCTTCTCCAAGGCGCTGCCGACGGTGCCTGGATTGGACGATTATTACACAGACGACGACGGCGAGAGTTATATTGGCAGCGATAACAATAACAACAATACCAGCAACAACATCAATAGTAATACTAGCTACAGTCGAAAGAACAGCGAGTACAGTCTCCCGGCAAGAACCTCTTCGCTGGCATCGCCGCAGTCGACAAAAAACATCCCCCTTCCTCCGTTACCTCCTCCGCCGACCAAGACGCTGCCGCCGACTCCCCAGACCCAGACGAAACCCGGCAGCAAAGTGAACAGCTACAGCAGTACAGCCAGCGCAAACATCGTCGCGGGGTCTTCAATTGCGCCCAGCACGCCTTCGTCGGCGCTGAGCCCTGGAGTTCTAAGCCTCCAGTCGCCCCCTCTGAGTGCCGGATCCAAAATGTCCATCCCGCGAAAGCCCGTCGCGAACCTGAAGCTGCCGGCGCCCTCTCCGCAGTATCTGGCGCAGCCATCTCCCACCTTTTCTCTGTCGAGTCTTCTCTCGGCGTATATGGGAGATGGCGACGAATCGCGCAGCCCGTCTTTATACGAGACCACGACGAGTGTTAGCGAGGTCGATAGGCAGGAAGTCGCAGCGCCGGGTAGCGAGAAGTCGGTTGCGGCTGCGGAGGCTATCAGTGCCATCGCCGCAGCTACAGCTGCCTTTCCCGCTGTTCCCAGCAAGCCCAAGGCCGCAACAGGCGGCAGTGGCTCACTGCCTGCGCGCCCCAATGCCGGCACAGGCACGGGTACAGGAATAGGCGCTGGTGCTGGTGCTGCTGCTACCACCCAGTATCAGCGCTCTGCTGAGCGAGATCTCCCTCCGCCACCACCCAAAGACGACACAGCCGCAGAGCTATCCACGCCATCCTCTCCTCGCCCCGAGATCTGGAAACGCCGTCCACACATGAACCAAGCCAGCAGAGAGCTTCCCGGCCTGACGCTCGACTACAGCCACGGGTCGACTGCAGATACGCAGCTGCCGGCAGACCAGGACAACGCCCAAGCCCCAGCCGAGACGGTCAAGGCCGCAGTGCCTCGAGCACCTCCGTTCGCCGGCGGCTTGCCTGGCCGCAACATTCGCCCTTCGTTAGGGGCCAAGGACCAGCCGCCCCCTGCCGCGCAAACCATGGGAAGCGAAACATCCAAGCTGAAGCAGATTAAAGACAGGCTTGGCTCCCAGCGCTCCGAGTCGGTATCCAGCAATTCTAGTGCAAAGGCTGGCTTTCCGGGGGCTCCAGCTGCTCAGCGGCCGCCAACGCCAGAATATCGCAAAGAAGATGCTAAGCAACCGACCGTCGAGCCTTTTGTTTCTCCCGTTTCTCCAGCAGCGTCTCCTGAAGCTCCCAGAGGTGCCTCTCCAGACTTTGCAAAGAATCTTCCCCCCAAGCCTCCCCAGGGTAACCAGGTTGTCGTTGCAAGCACTCAGCCTATATCTCGAAAAGCGATTACAGTGTACCCCAGCCAGGATCTAACAGCCGCCAAGGATTCATTTCGCCCGCCATCTGATGCAAATAGCACGACTACTTCCAGCCAAGCAACCGTATCACCAGTACTACGCAAAGGTGATATTGCTCCAGCACCAGCGGCTGCACCCGTGCCTGCACCTGTGGCGGCTTCTCTTCCCAACGACCCAGGATCTGCCCGCCCACGTGTTTCGGGGGGCACAAGCACGGCTGCTGTGCAGCCACAGCCGACTGTCATACAAACAGATGTCTCTCAGATAGCGAACCCTAAGCAGAGCACTCCCCAGCCAACGTCGGATCCACGACTGCTCAAGTCGGAAACACAAGGGCTTCTCTATCGGGGCCGTGACGGCACTTTATATCCTGAGATGAAGGTCGAAGGCGAGCCTCATCCCAAGGCCACATATTTCCCGACACAGACGTATTCAAGCTTGCCCAAAGACGGAATAATCAAAGCGAAGCCACTCACCAACACGCATTTTAGTTGCTTCCAACAACACAAGACCATGAACCGCCGAAGCAACAGGAATTGCCCGCTTACCTGCCAAGCTTGCGATAGGGCAGATCTTGAAGATCGCTGGGTGTGCGCGTTCTGCCATGTTCGAATATGCGACGCTTGCCATCGCAAGTTGGGCAACTACCAATGGGATCTTCGCCGGTTGGTAGATAGCCTCGCCAACGCTGGTCCCCTTTCCCAATCCCGGCCAGACACCGCCTCAGGGCTACAGGCAACGTTATAACACCGCGCATCTCCCTAATTCTGCCCGCCACATACTACTACTACCACGATACCCCTATTCCGCCCACGCCCCCTTTTCTTGTCTTTCTCCAGTATTTCTTTTTTTGTTATGGCATGCAATGTTACTGTCGTGGGATCTGGTGTACGAATATCATCATTTACTGTCTTCTTTTCTTCCTTTCTTCTTCTTTTTACCTTAACAAGGATCTGTATCATCAAAGCACCATAAGAAGGAGGCTCTAGTTGGCTCCTCAGTTTTCACTTTCGATACCATTTTCACAGCTTACCCACAAGACTTGAGGAGAAATGTCACATGTATAGTATTAGAGGATTGGTTCAGTCGCTCATTGGTTTCAAAGAGATTGGGACACAAAAAGGATAATTCCGAATTTTAGGGAAATCGACATGCTGGAAACCATGGTTTGTACAAGGTTGAATTTGTTTATATGAGTCAAGGCATCTTTGGTTTTGTTCTCGACAAGAGGCTGATTGAAATAGACTAAGCATTGGCGTAATACTACTCGTGGATAATAAAGCTGCCTTTTGAACAGGATTGAAATATGGAAGAGCTATCTTATTTGACGACATTTTCGTGATATCTGGGGCGCCGTTAAAGGAGGCGAGATGACATGAAGTTGTAAGTCGACAATTGGTGGAGCTGGGACCACTCACCAGCCACTTAGCCCAGCCGAAAGGGGAGTAGCCAGGCACGGCGATTGGGCTTATAGCGCCCCAAGCTCCCTGACATCACCCCAGGTAGGGCACTGATCGGTACATCAAATGTCACCGTCGGGCTGGCCAGCTTCAGACTTCAACATCCCGCCCAATCTTCAGCATCGGCACCATGTCCGCAATACCTCGGGCCCGCCCTCCGCAGCGCTCTAACACCACCATTCCCTCTTCGATACCGACGAGATCGTCTAGTACACGAGAGCCGTCAGTAACTCGAAACGCCTCACCGACCCGTCTGCCCAGCTTCAAATATGGTGCCCGAGCCGCCTCGATTGCGTCTAGCTCTAGCAGCTCGACGAACAGCTTGAAGAACACCTCTGCCACCACCACCAATGCCAGCAGTGGTATTCCCAAGGCACCTACGGCAACGGGCATACCTGGACGGCTGACGAGATCAATGACCCTGGCAACGAAAGAAGTCACTGCAAGAAAAGAACGGGCTGCGTCAACCACCAAGTATCCGCCCTCGACTACCATGACTAGGCCATCTCTTCAAGCGAGAGGGAGGTCTACGAGCATATCAATGCCGGGGAAGCCAAAGGAGCTTGAGAGAAGGCCAACGGGGATTGCATTTGCCAGAATCTCGGCCACCAATCTTGCTGGGCCGGTGGTATCGAAGCCGCCTAACCCTTCGAGGTCGAGAGATGCAATTCGACGGCCTGCAACGCCTACAGCCCCGGTAGGTGCACCATCAACATCTCGGAGGTCAGCTACGCCAACTGCGTTGACTCGGGCCAATACATTCTCGGCTCCTGGGAGACCAGTCACACCTACAGCGGCACCGAAGGCGAGGACGCCGCCTTCTTCTTCGAGTAGAGCGAGGACACCTCCCATGGGACTGACCCGAGCGGCCACATTCTCGGCCTCTACTCGATCTACCAGCACTTCTGCGACCTCTGCAACTCGACCCGGGCCTCGGTCTATTGCTCGATCTGTGACCCCGACCCCTACCCCGATCAATGCCAGAGGGGGAAACTCAGCGGCTAGTAGCCGAGCTGTGAGTCCTACGGGACAACAAAGAACGTTGCAACGCAGAGCTCCTTCGACAGAAAAGTTACCAGCTCGTAAGCCGTCATTGACAACAATCACTGCCCGAGGGGGTAATTCCGCAGCTAGTAGCCGAGCTGTGACTCCTACGGGACAACCAAGGACACTGGAACGCAGAGCCCCTTCGGCAGAAAAGTTACCGGCTCGCAAAGTATCATTGGCAACGATCAGCAGAGTGGTATCTAGACTTTCTAAGCCCTCCTCTGCCGGCACGCTGCTATCACAAGCCGAAGCATCGCTGAAGCCTCGGACTTCAGCTTCTTCTCTGCAGAGAGCAGGCTCACCAGGCAAATCATTGGCACCTAAACCATCTACATCACATTTGGCTCCACCGTCGCCCTCCAAGCTGCCGTCAAACATCGCTGCATCGGCCGAAGTCAGCAAGCTCCAGGCAGAGCTGCTGCAGCTGTATCTACTGCACCGGGAGGCGCCAGTCGTAGAAGCCGAATGGAGAGCGAGTGCCAAGCAAAAGCTGGGAGACCGATTCACAAAGCTGAGTGAGGAGAGCAGAGATGTCTCCGAACAGGAGAGCGCGGCTCAAGAGAAGAAGAATGTGCTGGCACTTAGAAGATGGGGCAGTGGTGGCAGACTGGATGAAAAGATTCAGTCTCTGGAATTCATCATCACCAATGTGTGGTCTCTGAGTGACCCAAGCGGTCGGTATGCCCAGCTGGTGCGGCACTTTGAAAGATGGATCGGCGGAGTGAGTGACATGGAGGAGGCGAGGAGAAATGGCGCCATGCTTGCCCAGGGAAACAATGATTTATTTATCGAAGATTTGGATTCCCAATGGAAGGAGGAGCGCGAAGAACTCATCGGCCAACTCGATGGGTGGAAGCAGCAGCTCAGCGACATTAACGACCTAACCTTGGACGAATTCTACGCTGAACCACCAGACGAAGGCGAAAAGTCTAGCTTGGAGAAGATGCTGGACGGATCACGCGCCTTGATTGACAATATGCTGGCGGAGCTGAAAATCATGGAGGTAGTTGAGCATGAGGCGCTTTTAAGAGAAGATGAGTGGATTGGGAGGATGAATAAGATTGATGCGGATAATGACTTTGAGATTCCGCGTACGGTAGGTGCTTGGAAAGAATTGTAAGGAAAATTTGGTCCAGGCGTTTGTTTCGCTTTCTTTTCATCTTCAACATTGACGGCCTTGCTATAATAACAGGATATACGACATTGGTTTTCTATAAATTACGATGGATATGGGCAACGGAACTATCATTATCATCACCCTCATGAGCAATAGCATTAGCATCAGCATCACTACCACCAGGTTCACTGGAATAAATTTCAAATCTGCTTTCAATTTCGAGAACAGAAAACTAGGCTGCTTCCTTTCTCTACCCGTGAAAGCATCATATATTCTAAGTTGACAAAAATGAAAATGAAAATAGTGTGTCATGGGGGCCCAGCGAACTCCTTGGAAGTCGGGGCATTAAAATAAAAAAACAATGATTCCACCTCAGTGCGCATAAAGCTTTTTTTCTTTTCTTTTTTCTCTTGTTTTCTTTCTTAAAAGACCGAAAAAATAGTAAAAATAGAAAAACACCTCCCGGGGAATAAAAAACAAATCACCGTCACTCATCACATGCTGTTTACCCATCCGCCCTCATCATGGCTGTTGCGCATCATACTCGTCGTTTGCTAATATTCATGCATCGTCATCAGGTCTGTGATCTTTTTTTTGTTCTCTCTTCTTTTCTTTTCTCCTCCTTTACAAAAATGCCCTCCGGGGGAAGCCAACTCCTTCGATGGCAGGCTCATCGACGAACCAGCTGCATCGGTCTCCCGTAGCTTCGTTGACGAGGGTGCACGGCAGTCCAGAGCTCGTGTCAAAGATCTCCTTCATGATTGAGGCCTTGCCGGCACCGGTGGCGACAAAAGCAACACGGACGGCGTGTGTGACAACGGGCAGAGTCAAGGTGATTCGCTTGGGGGGCGGCTTGGGCGAGTCCTCGATGGGGGCGACCCAGGCGTCGACCTCGCGCAGCAGCTCGTGGTTGGGGAACAGCGAGCAAGTGTGGCCGTCGGGCCCGCAGCCGAGCAGCAGGAGGTCGAAGATGGGCAGGCGCACCGAGTCGCGCGAGGCGAAGCTGCCGACGAGCGTCTGCTCGTACTGGTCGGCGAGCTCCTGGATGTCGTTGAGATGCTCGGTGTTGATTGCGTGCACGGCGGCGGGCTGCTGGTCGGCGGGCAGCTTGTCGAGCAGCTCGGCCTTGAGCAGGGCGTAGTTTGAGTCCTCGTGGTCCAGGGGCACGGCGCGCTCGTCGGCGAAGAAGATTTCCCACTTGGTGAAGTCGACGACGTCTGCGGGACCGGATGACGGGGCCAGGAGAGCCGCGGCGAGGGTTTTGGGCAGCGAGCCGCCGGAGACGGCGACCTTGAAGGCGCCGTGGCGCTCAATGCCGGCGTTTTGGCTCTGGATCACGTAGGCTCGCAGGGCTTGCGCGAGGGCGTCGACGCCCGGGAAAGCGTATAGATTGGGCTGTGTCTTGGGCATGATGGATGAGCTGAGCGAGGCGAGGCGAGGAGCGGGTTAGCTGTTTTGCGTATTATAGGCTAGAGGCCGGGCGAGAAGAGATGAGATATAAGGGTGTTTATTGTTGTTGATCGAGCCGTGGTATCGGAAAGTCCCGTCTATCGATTTATTATTTTCTTTATCCGCGGTCCCAAGTTTGCCTCTCTCTTCTTTTTTTCCTCGGTTGGTGTGTGTGGTTGGAGTTTTTGGAGCTATGGTAGGTAATGAGCTATGAAGGAGGTCCCGATAGTCTGGACGGCGGGGTTGCTCTATTTTTCCGCCTTGAAGGCTGCGGCTTGTCAAAAAAAAAAAAAAGAGGCTGCGTGCTATGCGCGCGGGGTTATGTCAGAGGCGCGTGGGAAGATAAGATAAGGCTGCGCTTGAGTTCAGGTAGCCGTTGCCAGGTGGAATGGAGGTTAAAAGATGAGCTGAGGCTGTGTCTTTGCTGTTTCTGGTAGTTGTTTATTAACTAACACACTTTGTTGCTATAGATTTTTTTATTTTTCATCACAGGAAAAAGTAACTGACGATGTGTACCCGGTGGTCAGATTCCGCGCAAGAGGCGGGAGAAGATTCGAGAAGGACTAAGGAAATTTCGGGTGGTGATGTGCAGTGCAGCGCACACACTCGGAACGGATCTGCAGGGATGCCGCTGGTCTGCATGCCCAAGCCGCTTGAGGCGCCCGAGTTGGAGAAGCATCACGTTGACGTTAATGCGCTAGTCATGTCAAAAATGGTGGTTCAATATTTTTTGAATTCTGATGCTGGGCTTGGAGAAGCATACTATTGAGAAGCATACATAGTATGCCAGCAGCACGGCAATCGCGGGTATTGGCATAACGGTGCTGTGTATATATCGTCTGGTAATTTGGCAATTGCCAGGAAAGCCGGGACCAGTGGGTAAAAGAGGTGAGCAAGTATAAGAAATTGGATCTAAAAATCAATGTATGAATCAATGTGATTATACGTACATCTACCTCTCTACCTTTGTATAATACCTTTACCTGTACCTCCTACGGGTATTTGCCTACCTATATGTATGCTTATGCTTGGCTTCCATCTATCGAAATCGCTACAGAGTGTTCATCCAACGGTTTAGCCGATTTCCATTCAAGTTTAAAAGGGTGCAAGCAATACAAACCTCTCTCACATTTAGGTTGTAAACTCAGCTGACAACCTACTGATCATTTTGGGCATAAACAGCTACAGGGGAAAAGGGTCTTCTTGGGTAGCAACTGGGCGATTGGAGGGATTATCGGATCGACTACCGTGCAACGTCCTGCATCTAGTAGGTCTTCATTGGTCTAGCAATACTGCCAACCATGGCCCAATTTCCGACCACCGAAACTAATGCGCTTGATACTGGGCAGCGGGCAGATAATGAAGGGATTCCAAATGTAACCAATCCAGAATTTATTTCCTCGTGCGTATAGTCGCCCAGCTTTGCAAGAGGTAGTTGAAGGGTGCGCCATTGGTGCTTTATATCCAGTCTTTGCATATAGCTGGGCATGTGTGTGTGCAAATAGCTTGCTGGGCAACTGTAGCGTATGCATGCTCGATGTTAGCTGCGCATGCTTACCACTTGCGCTGTGAAGCTACCCACCCATAACACCTTGCTTTCTCCCATATCGATAGCACCTACTGCCAAATCAAGACGACAACTTGAATGCTCATTTTTGATTGCTCATAAGACCCTGAGACGGACATAACGTCATGTCCTTTGTGGCGATATTCTGGCTTGTTTGGCGTTGCGGCTGGGGATTTACAAGGGCGTTAATGACGTAATGATGAAGCCTCAGTGAAGCCGCCTCTTTATGCGTCTTATCTTCCTGCATCTATAAATATTGCAGTTTAGCCTCGGCCTCATAGAAATGGCTGATTTCGTAATCATTTTTGTCAACTAAGCAGGCATTGAGATGCGACTACGCCAGTGCATCGTGTAGCCCATAATGCTATTCATTACCCGCAGCCGGAGCTACAGTAGACCATGTAATGGCTTACACGAATTAACGAAGCACGCAGACGGTAGGTAGTAGTTAACCTCTTGGTACCTCGCACTGCGGGCGCTGTAAATTGTAGTTGCCACTGGGGCAGCTCCGCTGTCAAAGAACTTGCTGCGCCTGCTGCGGCAGTGCGGGTCTTGCTCAACCAGCCACACGTTGCAAGGCACAAGGCACCCCACATAGAAGTAAGAGCATTGAGGCGAATATTGGGTAGCATCTCTGGACTGAGCCTTGCGAGACTATTGAACAGGTAGATTTGACTGGACTCGCCGTGTTGCCGGGCGAGTGATTTGATTTGTTCGGGCTTCTTTCCACAGCCTCATATGCCGGTCAGAGTAGTATCGTCGAGCATATGGCCGGCCTCTCGTGGTGGCAGCTTGGCTCGGTTATCTCTCCACTGTATTTTCTCTCCTCGTTTGTGCAAGTAGCTTCAGTAAGTAATGATAGCGGGCGCTGTAGACTTCCTTGTTCAATTTCTGTGGCAGGGCTATCCATGGCAACCTCCAGCTTGCCCGCGCGATACCATCTGTGCGACCATGGAGTTTTCGTCTGTATTACTGACGGCCTGGAGCCTTCAGCCCAGAATGCGACTCTAGCCCCGGTCTAGCCCATCGCTGCCACAAAGTCCCACCGAGTTGCTCGCTCGGGATTTCAGGGTCCAGCGGGACGCACACTCCGAGGGGTGCTAAAGCAACGCCAATCAACCGCCAAATCCCACACGCTTGCGCGACTGCTAGCCCATTTGGCGTATCGTCTAGGGCCTCATGAGAATTTTCAGTTTATTGATTTTTCTCCTGTGCCTCCTTACCTACCTTCACTCGCGAATCTGTCTTTGGTAACCTCCCCTCTTTTGGCTTAGCAGCCCTTGCCAGCTTCGGTGTTCGTTATTAATAATCCACCGAAGCCCTCTTGGAAGCTCGCGGTCTTGGACTGCGCTGGACAAACGGCAAACGGCCATTGGCTCTGGGTTATCGGCAGGTGCCAAGCTGGGCGTCAGGCTGCAAAGAGGTTGTGCCGCTATTGGAATCTGGCTGGGCCTGGTTGCTTCCTTCCATTCCTGAGTTGACGTTGCAAGGAAGGTGCCACGTTGTGCTGCCCCTCCTCCTGGTTTCAAGAAGCCGCTCCCGGGACTTACTGCCTCGAAGTAGGTACCTTTAGGTAGTATATATCGCGGGCCTGGAAGAATCTGGAACCTTTTCATCCTCCCTAGCTTTGTTGTATCGTCTTACAGTGTCAAGCCACCAGAGTCGTTCGACACCGGCGAGAACAGCTCCTTGCAACTGCCAACAGCAGCATCGGCGCCAACAACTGCAAAAACAAACAGCCGCCATCAGCAGCTAACGGCAAGCAAATAGCATTGAGTGGCAACATTGGCCTCGCAACAGCGGCATACAATCTGAACTCGAGCCCACCATAGCTGTAGTAACTGCACGGCACAAAGTGCGTCACGAAACGGCCTCACTTCAGTGTTACGACCTTGGGCCGGCTTACTGGTTCGCTCCCTTTCCTGAGCCATTCTGCGTCTCGTCACCACGCAGTCTTGCTGGCTACTCTTCTCTCGTCTGCTTCGCTGGTTTTCCCCCTTCGTTCTTCTCGTCTTCCCGGCCTTAGGACATTACCGCCACTAGCTTTGCGGGGATATTATCGACTGCGGCCTCGATCTGTGCCCTCGGCTTCTTTCATAACCCTGGCGGCCGTTGATTTGCTCTTGGCCAGGCCTATCCTGCAAGTTGACCAACGGCGCTACTCCATACGGCATATATCCGCAACACGTCTTCTCACACCCGCCAATCCAGGGTCTTTCCGGTCTTGCGCCGTCCTGAAAGTTTCCGTTGCCCACCTGCTATCAGCAACCCCTCCAGCTCGGCCCAACTCTTTTGTCCAACGTTTCCGCAGAGAAGAAATATCTTGGCTTTTAACGAAGCGGTAGCTTGACCGGCTGCTACAGGCTCGATACTCGCGTGGAATTTTTTGATTCTCCACTCTCTCTTCATCGATTGCTTTTAGTAGAAGGGGGTTCTCGATCTTGTAGCCCCGATAAGCGATCGCCAATCAAATTTGTTCTCTACCCTAGCACAACTCAAACGCGCTGGGCACTGACAAACAACTGCTGCTACCGGCTTCTTCTTTCTTTCTTTCTTTTCTTCTTTTTGTTCTTTTTTAATATATTTCTGCTTGTCGATTGACACACTATCATTTCTAGCTGTCGTACAGTAGCCCCTTCTGATTACTGCCTGACGACAACTGGTGCCAATGTCGTCTCCAGACTCAGATCATATTGCCCTTAGCGAGAAACTTCTCGAGCGCCGTCACCGACTGACCGAGGGACTCAAAAGCTTACCGTATGATTTGATTCTTTATCTCGAGCGGGCGGCCGTGTACGCGGATCTTGGTTACCCCGATCTCGCCGCTGGCGACGCATATCGAGCACTTCTCCTTACTGATGAAGTAACGAACGACGGATTCGAATACCATGAGCAATCCTTGGAATGCTTAAGCAAATATGTCGGCGTACCCCTTCCAGAGGTACTGGCCCATAGCCAGATTGCCAACGAATATCCTGATCTGGTCAATGGCGGCCCCAAGGATGAGGATGATGCATTTAACCAGCTAGCAAGCGTTGCATCGGTACGGGCGTATCAGATACTGTCACTGAGTCTCTTGCTGTGCGGTTGCTTGAAAAGTGCCTCTCAGTTTTGTGATCGAGGCCTGGCAGTTGCTCCGCAAAATGCGAAGCTGCTTCACACCAGGGGGCATATCGACAACGTGGCTAGACAGAGGCTAGGCCGCCAAGATTTCGATGCCAGTGATTTACCCGACTTTGGTCTAGTCCGCCGGGAAGTCTATCCATGGAATGACCATGAACCGGATCGCTTCTCGCCCGATTCCTTGCAGTCCTTGAATGCCGCGCTGAAAGAGATGGCCCCAAAGTGTGCCGTTCAAGTAGCGACTTTGCCAATCTTGTTAGAAGGAGAGAGCGACACTGACAATTATGAAATAATCCCGACCTGCAAACAGCTTGGTGTCTTTGCCCAAGAGGATATCGAGGCTGGCGAGGTTGTGCTTAGAGAATACACCCTCCTTACAGCCAACAACCGACACAAAGATTCGGTTTGCGACGCCTGCAGCTCTGAGCTTGCCCCGCTCGGCAGCGATAACCAACCCATTCGGTGCGAAGAATGTTACGATACCGTCTTCTGCAGCCAAGAGTGCCACGATCTAGCCCAAGAGCGCTATCATCCTGCTGTCTGCGATAAAGACGTGGACTCTATTGCCAAAGACCCTAGCGCGTTCGAAGCTGATGAGACTCTGCACCTGCTTCTTCTTGCCAGAGTCTTGGCGATAGCGGCCAATGAGGAGATTCACCCGTTGGATGTGAGCGAGGTGAAGTTCATCTGGGGTGACTTTGTTCCCTCTCGATCCAACGAGATCAACGTATCGCCCAACGCTGGCCCTCCACCGGAATGGACCCTCCCATTCTCTTTCAAATATAACATCGAGACACCGCTGCACATCCTAGAGAAGATGGATGTAGATATCTACACCGGTGTGGAGGAATATGACCTGTGGGTTCTCAACACGCTGTATGCCAAATTCCGAGGAACGGCTTCAGCTCGCAAAAACCCTCGAGACGGGAAGCCAGACGTTGCCGCGGTTCATCCTTATTGGTGCCTAGCCAACCACGATTGCGATCCAAACGTCACTTGGGACTGGAGCGGCCGAATGGTTCTCTCAGCAAGAAAAGAACGCGTCGTAGGCGGCAGACCCGGTGGCATCAAGAAAGGAGAAGAGATTCTGAACCATTACTGTGACGTAACACTACCGGTGCAGCAACGACGCGAGTGGGCTCAGGGAAGTCTGGGAGGCTGGTGTATGTGCGAGAGATGTCGCACAGAGGCCGCAGAGAATAGAACGACTGGAAATGAAACATCGGCGTAAAGGTTGGCATTTCCTTGAGGCCTTTTCTCTCCGAACAAGCAGCAACGATACTTGCGGCTGGGATGCTTGGTCATCAACATGTGTCTATCCTTACAGCAAAGACGGGCGACGGCGCAGTTGAAATCTAGCAGGGGCCGCGAAGCTTTCTGCCCCCTGATAATTTCAAGTGCAATATCGATGACGCACTTCAATACGGTTGCTTAATCATGCGTGATGAAGAAAAACAATTGCTAGTAGAACAAAAAGAGCAAATGAGGCAAGAGAGCTGGTTCTATGGTAAAAGTTTACAAGCCTTACAAGAGTCAGGGACCCCGCTCAGCTATGACTCGCCCATAGGAGAAACGAAGAGACATATTCTTGCTACTGTAGCATCTGCCCCTGTGTTTACTTTCCCCATGCCCATCTTAATAGCGTGCATGGCTTTTCTAACGAAGGGACCTTTTAACGGTCAGCAGTTCCCCATGTTCCGACCCAAATAACCCGTCGAGGGACTTCTGTCTCTAAGATGAGGACCCTCTAGCTTTTTTTCCATGGGGCCGAGGCGGCAGGGCCTAACATACTTTCCACCTAATGCATGTATTGACTAGGATATTAACGGCTTGACGGTTTCAATCTCGTATAGTATGCCGCATATAGGTCCCAGGGCTCATTGCAGCTGCTGTTATATGACGCAAATGTTTCTTGCCTATGGTCGACGAAGCTTGCAGGATGACCGGCAAGGATGGCAACGGTGAGACTTGAGAGCATATGATGCTGATAGGCCAACTGCACACGATATGTGTAATCTGTGAGTTTTCTGCACAAGAGAGGGCCAGCCTAACCAGAGTCTGGCCTGGTACCCTGGTATACGTAACCCAAGGAAGGTTTATAAACAAGCGAAAACTCTGGATAAATACGGAATCACGAATACGGTCTTTTATTCTTCACACGCTCAGCGCTATAAAACACATATCAGCAAAGGAGGAAAGAGAACAGACATGAGGACTCAAAAAAATCGGGTTCGTCCATCGCTAAACATAGAATTGGCAATAGGAGTACAGGAGAAGAGGAAGAGGAAGAAGAGAAGAAGTGAAGAAAGGTATGAAAAAGAGATGAAATAAAATAAAAAAGACAACGTAAGGGAAGCCAAAAAGAAGATAAAAGATGAAAAACAAGTCCAAATCTAACATGCGCCACCCTTTCCCGCCAGAACCGCCGCCGCCGCCAGTTTGTTTTTTGTGTATAGATCCTCTTTAGCCGGAAACACCGTCCCAACAGCGTAATTCTGTCTTGTCTGCCAATGATTGTGTGTGTGCCCTTCATGTCCGTTATCCCTCCCCTCCTCCTCTTTTTAATCTCCATTCTCTTCTCATGACTATCGCCCGCCGTTTGGTGGAGGTCGTGGTCCTACAATCTGCCTCCGCCCGGCGCCAATGCCCTGCGCCCCTTTGTTCTGGCTGTCTCCGCCGGTGTAGCCGCTCCATTGGCCGACATCCCACCGGCCGTCGATGCCTCCCCCGATGCCGTCGACGCCGTTCTCGCCCCGGGTCATGGCGGCGGTTTCTTTCTGGGCTTCTTCCCACTCCTTCTGGCGCTGCCTCTCCATTTCCTTTTCGCGCTCGAGCAGGGACTTGGACGCCCAGCCGGCCGCCTTGGTCTTGTCTTGGCTCTGGAAGCGGCGCCGGTCTTCGGCATCGCGTTCCTCGGTTGCGCCGAGTTCTCGGGCATATGTCTGCTGGGCTGCGGAAGGCGCGGGGGCCGAGTTGGTTGCCAGGAAGCGGTCTGTGCGATTCTGGGGTGCCTCTCTTGGAGGCGATGAGTACTTGGCGGGATCAGGCAAGGGACGTCCGCCTGCTGCCGGCGCGGCAGCGTTATTGGGATTAGGAAGAGGGCGGGGAGACCTGGGCAGCGGCGACGAGGCCAGTCCTTCTCTCTCGTCCTCCTTCAAGAAGTCTTGATGCTGCTTCCACTTCGTCTGAAGGACCTCACGCTCTCCTTGGGAATAAGACTCGTGGCGGTTCAGCTGCGAGGCATTGCCTCCTCTGGGGCTGCGCGACTCATCTGGCCGACCTCTGGATATAGGCCTTCGTTGACCGGGTGAAGTAGGTACTCTGCCGTCAGCGGCCCGTTCTTGTCTGTCACGCTCATACTCGACCTCACGCTGTTGTGCCTCGTGAAGCTGTTCTCTCTTTACTGTCCCATGGGCCTCGGCCTTCTCAGCGTTGGCCTGCTCGGCTTGATACTGGCTGAGGAATTGCCCATGTAGTTTGGCAGGGCTCCTGACAGCGCGGCGTTCTTCCTCACTGCGGGCTTCGGCCTGGGCTTCTTCTTTGCGGCGCTTGTCCTCGGTCAGCTTCCACTGCCGCTCTTGTTCTTCCCATTCCATCTTCTCTCTTTGGACTTTTTGGCGTTCCTCCTCTCTCTGGCGCTCTGTCTCCTTCTCCCACCGCTTCTCCTCCTCAGCACGAGCGCGGTTTTCATCCTCGAGCTGGGCTTGGCGCCGGGCCTGGGCCTCTTGCCTCTGACGCTCTTCTTCCGCAATCTTCTCCTTCCTGATGCGCTCCTTTTCAGCTAAGCTCGGCACCTGAGGCGCAGCGGAAGTGATTTGCCTGCGGGCTCCGAAAGCAACCCCCATGCTGCCCTGGCTGGCGCCGCCCATGTAGCCGTACTGCGCAATATTCCAAGCCGGAGCGGTTGAGCCCTCGTGTTCCTTCTTGCTCCAGGTACTAACGGACTTGGGGGAACCAGGGCCCTTCCCAGTGCTCTTCGCAGGGCTCACCTTGGCTGCAGAGTCTCCAGTAAAGGATGCGCCCCGGCCGCGCGAAGCTGTAGCTCCAGCTCCGGTGCCTTGAGGCGTTACAGCTCCAGGCTTCCCAGATTTGGGGCCAATCACGTGGGGAAAGTTTGCCGGGTTGGCAGCGTGTGCGGCTCTGCTGAATGCGCCAATGCATTGTAGCACCTGGGCCGGATCCTTGCGCTCAAACAGATCGACCGTGAGAAAGGTGTCGTGCTGGTGCAGGTTCAGGGGCGGGGCCTGGCATGCCTTTAGGAAGTGCGATATATTTTCCATCTGGACAAAGGGCATGGCCGACTTCTTGAACTTGATTCCGGGGGCTGGAACAGCAAGGTTGATGAGCCTGAAAGAGAGAAGAGAGCAAACGTTAGCGCGTGCGACAAAGAGCAAAGGCTAGCCATAGGCAGTTGCTGCGACGGAGGCAGGGTGTATTTCGCATACTTGCAGAGGGCGACGCCATCTTTGAGGCCGTCGAGGAGATCTTTTGACGGTAGCGATTCTCCCAGCGTCTCTTCGATCCATGCGCGGGCTTCGTCAGCGGCAGCCGGAGTGTATTTCTCGAGGCGCAATCTGCGCAAGTCGCCGTCCAAGGACGTCACGGAAGCCATGTTTGGATGGCCAGAGGTGGTTTGGTATAAGATATAATCTGTCGCTTTTGTTCGTCTTTTTCGCTTTTCCTTCTCGAGTCAAAAGACTTAGATGTTACAAATCCAGCAATGTACCTATGTATTGTTTTGTTTCGAGGAGGATGTCGTCACCAGGTCAGCGTGGGATGTCGTAAGCGGCAGGTTCGGAATGTAGTCGCAACAAATAGAAAGGCTGGGCGCAACTGGAATTCAGCGCCTGACAACCGCACGTTGTTGCGTGGGCTTTAGGATGTTTCTTTTTTGCCAAATAATGTGTCTGCGCAAGAAATAGCGAAGACAAACAAGTACAAGTTAGGGGTATAAGTAAAAAGGTATATGGGTAGAAAGCAAAAGTCCAAAGGGGGCGCCAAAAGAAAATGGACAATAAAGGGTTCAAGTAGCTTTTGCGTGGCCCCTTGCGCGTAAAGGCGAATGACGCACGTCAGCTCCAGCTATGCTGTGCAGGAGCAGGCGGGGGGGATTTTCTTCGGGGGCCTGGTAAGGCACCGCTAATATTGGGCCTGCTGCTGCTATTATTACCACGCAGTCAAGGGACCAGACCCAAATTACAGTTATTACACGGCGACTGGGGGGGGCTTGGCTTGCGACAAAATGGGGGGGGGAAGAAGCAGAGATGGCGCCACGCACGCGGTTGCTCAGGTACAGCTTTGCGGGAGACGTAGCATGCAAGGTACCTGATCTGCTTTGGACCCTTTATTCCATGGCTGATGATCTATAGGTATGTAATGAAGAGACCCCCCACCGCTGAAGACAGCAGCAATAGCAGGTGTGACGATTTTCACTGGCTCCCTCCGTAGGTGATTGAGGGGCGCCTCATCTTCGTTTCGCTAAGCCGTCGCAGCAATATCCTTCCTGCAGGCATGTAACGAAATGCGCATTGCTAGCTACCCTTAGAAAGTTGTCCCCCCGTTCTTCATGCAAAGAGGGGCCCGGCGAGGGGCATTGAAGAAAAAGAAAGTCTAGAGCATGGCAGTAGCTGTGGCTGGTGTCATGGCCAATTGCGGTCGCACAGCCACACGCGTGATGGCTCCATGCACATGCATAGCAATGACAGCATCCTGTATCATCTCCAGCAAAGAAAAAAAAACCCCCCTTCGTCCATTTAGCTCTCCCATTCCCAGGACAAAAACTTTTTTTGTCTCACCACCAACATCCTTCATGTCAGCAACGCCGAAGCGAATAGGCCCTTTTACGCAGGCATGGTATAAATGGAAGGCCCTGCGCCTTCCCTGGCGGAAGCGCTTCCTCATTGGTAAGTTGTAAAACCTACAAGCACTTTTGCCACAAAGACGTTATACAACCCCAATTCCTATTCTTTCAAATTTACTCACTCCAAATTCTTCTTGTCCAGGCTTCGATCTCCACGGCAATACCTTTTGGGAATTCCGCCTCACCCGCGGCGCCCAAGACTCCTCCGAGCGCTGGCGCCGCATCGTCTCCTACCCGCGGTCGACGCACTACTCGCAGGTCAAGGTCAGCCCCCAATGGCACCAGTGGCTGCGGCACACACGGCGCGAGGCCCCGACGATGGAGGAGCAGCGCGCCGAGCTCGTGCGCCAGGAGAGGATGAAGCTGCTTGCCGCTGAGGCTGATGCGCGCTGGGAGGCGAAGCCGAGGGTCATGGAGGCGCCAAAGGAAGAAGAGGCGGCGAGGAGGCTGCCTTTGGCTGAAGAGAGGGCACAGCAGCCGGTAGAGGGAGAGGATCAGAAGGCGACGGCGACGAGGAAAGAGAAGCCTTCTCAGGCGACGAAATTGGACGAGGAGAAGGCTAATGCAAAGGATCCTTGGGCGAGGGCCAGGGCGCAAGGCCCGGGCGAAAGTTGGCAGCCCACGGCATGGAACCCCACGGCTACGGCCAAGAAGCGATGAGATTTGACAAAGCGAACACGAAAAAGAAGACGAAACAGGAAGAAAAAGGCCCAACGACACATAGTAAGAGCAACATTAACGAACCGACGCCATCAGTTTTATGACCATGTCCAGGATGTACGCATATGGGTTGGTGGATGGATAGACATGTATTATATGTATCATTACCTAGAATGTATTACCCCAAAAGCCCGAGATATATCTCGCCCAGTGGCCTAAAAAACGCCTTGCTCCCAATTCTGCTCCCATGAGAACTTTAGTTTCTGCAAATCATGATAAAACACACGCTCTTCGTTACAATTCGTTCATGTCAAGTCACATAATTCTTCCAGATAAAAATAAGAAGAAAAAAAGAAGACAACGCCCATTCAAAGCAAAAAAAAAAAAAAAATTTGCACGCTGTACAGCATGATCCAATCAAGTCGATGCATTCAAAACGTCCAAGAGAATTCGTATACGATCAGCAGATGCCTCCATCACGTTAAAAGCATGCGAATCGCTCGCATCGGCCTTTGTACGGCCCGTCCTTTTCCTCTGTGCCTTCTTCGCCCTCGCCTCTATGCCCTTGTCGACTGCGACGGCGAAGCTGTCCGTATACTCGATCATATCGCAGAGCCAGAGCAGCTGCATCGCGCTCTCCACCAGCAGCGACAATTTGGCATTGTCTTCCAGGCCGATCGTATTAGCGGGATAGCAGACGTAACAGTGTTCCAGCATAGGCATCGTCAGGCTGCCCAACGAATCACCTTCCGGGTCGACCTTCCGGGGATCTTTGTAAGATGATGGGAGAAGCAGGTGGAAAAGCTCTCTGGTGAGGGTGATTTGCGACGGTCGTAGCAGCACGTCCGGCCGATGAGAGACAAAGAGAGCGAATATATCCAGAGGGAGAACTTTGATGCTGGCTGCAAAATCCTCGTAGAGCCTGTTAAGCTCCGTGTGCTTACCCAAGTCATCTGTGGCTACGGAAAGCAGCCTAAATAGCCGCAGCCGCAGCTGAATAGATTCTACCATGCCAGCACCGACCCCCGATGCTTCACTTTTAGTGCGTTGCTTCTGAGGGGTTGGAGGCTCGGAGACGCCGGAGGAGATAGACTCGTCTTCGTCGAAATAGTCGCCAAACTTATCGTTTGCCAGGTCAAGGACTGCTTCACGCTTTCGCTTCTTCCCTCGCTGCCTTGGCCCTTTGTGCTCTTTATCGAAAACCTCCTGGAAAGATGAAGAAGACACACTTCCGTTGTAAGCAAACAGCGCCTTCATGATGGCCTTTGGCCCAGAGTGGCGACCGTCCTTCTGGTCCATGTACATGACCAACATGGACTCGGCTCGCCATATCGTGGGCACTTCCCCAATGCGTCCTTTTATCTCATAGTCCTCCAGATCGCGACGTTTCCGCTCCTCCCAGTCGGCATCCAGCACATCCAGCATAAACTCCAGCCAGGCCTTCCAATACCGCCATCGGTGCGGCATCAGCGTGCAGCAGTGAAATGCCCACCCGACCGTAGACCAGAAATCCTGGCCTTTGGCCCACACGCTGCCCTCGTTCGCAATCCTTCCTCGTAGTGCATCGCGGTTGCTCTCCGACTCGCCATCAGACATGTCGCTGTCGCTATCATGGCCGGTATGTCCTGTTGCACGACGGTTCCATCGCGGCGTGGAGCGGAACTGGAAGGCGGTTCGGAAATCGGCGTGAAGTGGTCCCACCACTTTGAGGACGTTTCGGAGGTAGCTCAGGGCGAGAGAAGAGACGTCGAGATGCTCTGGTTTATCGACACGCGTTGTGTGCAGCGGATGAACGGCGATGGTGCTCAGCAGCGCGAGGTGGCTCGGCGGCGGCACGGGCACAGGCTTGCCGCTCGGTGATGATCTCGATATGCCGGAACCGAGGATGCTGCTGAGAAGGTTGATGGCACAGGTGTCTAACCATCGCCAGAAAGATCAGTACTGCCGTCAACATAGATTGCATCAATGGGAAGCGGCTTGGTAGCAGAGGAGGGGTGACGTAGGTATGCATACACAATTGTTCTTCGAGGAATATCTGGCAGTGCTCTTTCAGCTCGTGAGGCAGCTCCCGTGCCGTTCTGTACTGGCATGGCGAGCCAGTGGTCGGAGTGCTCGCAGTTGTCGACTTTGACGTGAGCTCTGAGTCCTCCTCCTTGCTTGAGTAGAATGATGTCGGTGACGAGTCGGTGCTCGGCTGTGATCGCCTCGCCATAGTCGTGGAGCCCTCTCGCCAAGAAGGCAATGTTGCAAAATGTCGTCCTTTGCCTTTGTATTTCTTTTCAAAGGTAGTAGAAAAAGAACAAATTAGAGGCCTGCAAAGAAGGTCAAATGAGGAAGGCGGTGCGGCTGAAAATGAGGGGATGAGGAAAACGCGGGTTTCAAGTCTTGGAAGCTGCTGGTTGGCGGTTTATTTTTCTTTGTTGGCGACGCGGGCCTTCTGGCACCAACTTTCGCGGGGCCCCTCCCAGTGCCGACAGTGTCGGCTCTTTCCCGATCGCACACGGTGCAGTCGTTGCCTGTTTGGGACCAGCCCAGCGGCTTAGCGCCGAGACCAGCGCGGTACCTACCGAGCCCAGTCGGCCAGTGCGCGGTAACTGGCGCCAGGTACCAAATTACGCAATACGTGTATTTGTGCAGTGCGAGCAGTGTTAAGGACTTGAATATTGTCAAGGACGCCTCAAGTGGTTTTCTGCAGAAGAAGTATCGTGATGAAATGTCAAAGTGGCGTTGAGTACTTCGATGATAAGTCAATGCAGAATGTATCATGATGTCATGTACATGCACTCTACGTCGCTTTTCGCTTTGCTTATTACCAAGGTACTATGGCTGGCTGTGAGGTGCAACGCAAAATGAGCCGCAATGTTGCGCAGTAATGTGTCAAGACATCGAAAGAACTAAGTAGGAACGTCGGTACATGTAGAGGCTAGAAGAAGCTATTAAACCTATGGATACTTGGCAATGAGACCTTGGTTGAAGTCTTGACTAAAAGGATCGTATATCGATCGTTAAAGAGCAATGGTGTCTTTACAACTTCAAGGATAACTTGGGCTCAGCCATCGTCTAACATACCATTTTATTTACACTATATTTAGAAGTCAGGCTAGGTTTTGAGTATTCAATTTTTTGTTTCTCTCATTCTATCTATGTACATGCTATATTGGTATCCCGAATAAGTAAAACAAACGCTAAGAGTAAGCTGCCAATACGTCAAACGCATTAAGCCCAGCTCTCCATTACCGCGGGAAGCAATATTCATCTGCTCTCGCATCCCATTATCTCCTTTTTTGCTTTCGCCTTCGTCATGATAAAAAAAAAAAGGACGCCTCTATATATTAACCAATGCATATATCCGTTCCACGTGGCCGTATTTCAAAACCGGAAAAAGAAAACTCTGAACCGATGGTATTCTATCGCTTCAATATGACTATAATTGTTTCATAAAAAGAACAAAAAATTGGAGAAGGAGAAGTGTTAAAAGAAGCGGAAAAGGGGGTTGTGGCGATTAATCCAGTCGAATATAAAGGTTGAGGGGGGTTGGGATTCATTATATCAAATGAACCAGGATTATGTTGGATTTAAGCGTGGCTGGCACGGCTAGCACGGCTGGCTGCTCTCTCCAGTGCCTGGCTCTCTCGTCTTTCCTTCTCCTGCTCTTGAATCTCCTCGATAGCCTGGTCCTCGGTGACTTGGACGTGCTTGGCTCGCATTTTCGCAAGAACAGCCGCGGCTTCGGAGGCATACTTGCACTTGGCACGGATCCTGTCACCGTACTTGTAGAAGAGAGCGGGGAAGGGAACGCAAGCCAGAGCCAAGAAGGCAGGGATGGAGCTCGCCCAGTGGACACCCAAGTTCTGGTACATGTAGGTGGTGAACAGTGGGAAAGCGGCACCAAAGAGAGATCGAAGGACGGAGCTGGCAGCCAAGGCTGAGGCGGCGAAAACAACATCTAACTCGAGTATTAGTCTTCACTGCACAAATATCCACACACAAAGGCCAAGGGGGAATGAAAACTTACAAGAGTCAACAAGGTAGTTCATCAGTGAGAGGAACACCAAGACAATACCGGACGCGAACCAGATGGAACCAATGATGGAGACAATCCAGTGAACGCTGGGGCCGTTGGTCCAGGCGAACCAGAAAAGGCCAATGGGAATCAGGATGGATCCGAGAATGGCGGGTGGCAGACGGGCTTCGGGGGGTGCGTTGCCATCGGGAGCCTTGGCAGCAGCCCTCAGATATCGCTTGTTGTCGAGCATGGATCCAACAGTAGACAGAGACATACCAATGGCAATGCCGATGAATGCCAGACCGCCAATGCCCGGGCTCCAGCCACGACCTTCTTGGTAGACAATGGGGAACGCAGCAAAGCACATGTAGAGTGTACCATAGATGATGGCCATGTAGAGGGAGATGAGAAGGACGATGGGCTCCCTGATGAGAAGCTGCCAAGGTCTCAGCAGGGAAACCTTGAGTTGGTCGCTAATGCTCTTGGCTGGCTGTCCCGCCTCGAGCCTGGAAATGTAAACCTTGCCAGTCTTCTTGCTCAGGGCACCGGCACGTTGGCGGAGCAGGACTGGGGCGTATGTCTCGGGGTAGACGACAGAGCTGAGAATCCAAACAACACCAGTGAAGATGGCGATGAGTCCCTCAACCCATCGCCAGCCCTTGGACTCACCAAGGAAGCCACCTGCAATCGGACCCAGAGCCGGGCCCAAGAAAGGAGCCATGGCAAAGATGCTAAAAGCAACTCCTCGTTGGTCGGCCTTGAACATGTCGGCAATGACACCACCGGCATTCGTCAGGGGAGAAGAGCCGAAAGCGCCCGCAAAGAATCGAAGGATAATGAGGGTAGCCATGTTCTGGGAACCAGCGGCTCCGGCACTGAAAGCGGACAGAGCCATGTAGCTGACGAAAAACGTTCTCTGGCGGCCGTACAGCTCAGACAACGGGGCCCAAAGGAGAGGACCAATAGCAAAGCCCATGACAAACAGAGATACACCCAGAATGGCGACTTCAGCGGAGATGTCAAACTGCATGATGATCTCACTTATACCGCCCGAATAAGCAGAACTAGCAAAGGAGACGGAAAGAGCTGCGCTGGCCTGGATGAGAGTGATGGCCCATTTGAATGAGTCTTTGAAGGTCATGGGATTCCATGGATCGTTGGGGATGAACTCGACGAGGTAAGGAGACTCGGCAGTGCCGTGGCCGGTGTAGTCGAAATCCAGCACTTCCTGGGTAACGCCGGTCTGGTCAAGGAGAACTCTCCAGTGTGAGACCTTTTCGGACGGGGTAGCTTGTAGCTGAGACTCAACATCGTGATCGGGCGTTGTGACGGTGGCGGATGAGGCAGAGACCGAAGAAGAGGTAGAAGGAGGAACCCCCTCTGGCGCAACAGGTTTCTCTTCAGCCATGATGACAGCTATGACGCGCAGTCGTTGATCGCTAAGAAGCCGGATCTTGCGCTACTTTGATTAAGTTTGGGGCGAGACGAGATGAGATGAGAAGCCTGGGCCAGAGTCAGATCGTCAAGATTCGGGGGCACGGGGCTTGTATGTCTATTATACTGATAATCGCCCACCAACAGGGATTACCAATGCATTGAATTACACGTACCTCCCTAAAACCCAACCTAATCTCTGTGGAACTCCGCTGGCGGGTAACGGTGGATGATGTCCGGTCGAGTTGTCTTATCCCCCAGTAAAGTGACAAAACAAAGCACCCTTGAAGAAACGAGATAGGCCTAGACCGCCGCTGAGCCTCGGCAGATGAACAGTGGTACGAGGCTGCGGTGGAGAGGCGAGAAGCGAAGGAAGGAAAAAAAGAGGAGATGAGATAGAAAAAGGCGAGTCAGGAGACAAGGCTGTCTTGAGATGTAAGTTGCTGTAGATCTGGAAAGCCACAAGAACTCGATCAGAGAAGCAGGTTATGTAGGTAGTTTAAAAAGATAGCCGTGCGAACAAGGAGGAGGCGCCGTTTTGGTATAAATAAAGACGAGTAGGTGTGAGCTGGTTGAGGGTTGAGCTCTGGTTGACCGGGTTGTTGACTACCAGGTACCGGGCCTGGCCCGCGCACAGCTGGGATGGAGGCTGCAAAACCAGCTGCATGATCAGAAAACAAGCAGCTGGTGGAACTGGGCAAGGGATTCGGGTTTGAGCAGGACTGCGACCTGCAAAATTGGTGGAGTTAACAAGTTATTTGCGAGGGGGGAAGAGTCGAAAGATGGTGATGAGTGCAAGTTACTGTCCGGAGGGGATTAGCGCGTTGTGCGGCTGGAAGACACGTTAGTCCCAATGGGGACGAAGACGGACAAGCCCTGGCTATATCGACTAGGCAGTTCTCCGGCGGGCCTAAAAAGTCCATGGACATTTCGCCGGTTGGTGAGGATTGCGCCACGGGCGGCCGCAAACAGACCCAGAGAATGAGGAACGGACAGAAGCTGGGCCGTTCTGGGACACTCCGGAGCCAAGCTTTTGGCCCGACGCATTTGTGCATGCGTGCATGAGAGGTCGGCATGACGTATCTGGCCGTAGCCACAGCTTTGGGCTGTCTGCTGTTACAAGGACATGTCCATGAGGTATCTATTACAGCTACTTGGCTCATGCATGGCGATTGTTGGTGATTCTCGCGGTTTGTTGGTTTGCTGCTTGAAACGTAATTCGTACAACCACTGATCAGCAGCCGTGCCCAAAAGCTTTGACAAAAATTCAAGAATCAAGCAGCAAGCAAAGCAGCCCACCCACTCCGCCAAGGCGCTATTTAGACAACTTGATGGGCAGACAAAAAGACCCCTCGCTTTCGCGCTCTGCCCTACGAATTACTACTCGCGGTCACAGCTACCGGGGGAGGGATGAGTGGGGAAACATACAAGTAATTCCATGTTTTACTGTATTCCGTCCTGCTTTCTGTATTCCTTGCTCCGCCTCTCACCGTGAATAGCGCTGAGAAGTACTGCTATATATCCCAAGGTACGACTTGATGCTTCTATATTAGGGACAAGTCACCTCGCAGCTGCTCCAAGCTGCCTGATACCACGCCGCCTTTGGATCATTCAACACAAGCAGCATTTCCCCTCGTGGCCCGCACGTCCATCACGCATCGGCGAGTGGTGGGTGCGAGCTCTCGTCCGTGCCAATCATGTAGCTTGGCCCCCTCACAAACATGCCGTCCGAGCATGCAACAAAATCCACTGAAGGAAGCCGATCACCTGTAGTAGCGTACTTGTAGCTGCTAGAATATTCCGCGCAGACGGGACAATCCCCTGGTCACGGTTATCGCTCCTGCTCCTTCGTGTGACACTCGGTACACGTATTGCAGGATGGCTGCAGTGAAATACATGTAAACGGAAATCATGTTGGCTTGGTGCGTCGGAAGTGACACCTACACACACGGGCACCCAATATCCGTTGACATATTTTCGGGCTTTACGGCTATTAGCAGTAGTATATCCATTATCCCGTGGCATCTACAGAGTGCTATTCACACAAGGCTCGTATAGATACAGTTTCAGCTCCCAAACGCAATCAAAGATTGATTAACAATTCGAAATTCTGAGGCAAGCTTGGCACGGGGCGGCAAGCCAGACTCAATCTCCGGGAACGTGGCCCCACTATCCCGGCGCCGCCCCTCCGAAGTCCGTCTTTCATTCTGTCACGCCTCAACGTCTGGCCTTTGTGCGATGTTTCATTTCAATAGATTTCGGCGCCATTTGTAATCTGTCGCACAGAAGCTATTTCAGTATTCCACAAAGTCGGAAGCAAGCACGTGCGAACGGGCGGGGACTGCCAATCGCTTCCGTCTCTTGTAATCATTTAGATCTGTTCGGATGAAGAAACCAGATAGCCGCCATGTGAGCGCCCGTCTTACAGCTGCTTGTCATGCGGCTGTGGCATGCCCGCGTACTCAAAAGCTTATATGTAGGCATTTGACCAACCGGAAGAGCGTAATCAAATTACTCTATTCAAGCTTGCTGTAAAAAGAGCTGTGTGATACTCTCAGCTACCCCGTTCTTTAACGCCAACGGCTGTTGCCATTGCATTGAACCTAGGTATTGCGTAGCGTAGTTTTTCAACGCTCTCATTACGTGGGCTTCCAATATATGAATTAGTCATATAAAAGCTTGTTTGATCTCTTTATGTTCTCACGGGGTGCCGGAGCCCCCCATCGCCGTCCCTCCGCCTCCATCAACGGGCACATTCACCCAACCCACCGCACGCGCCGCAAACATGACGGAAAACGGGCTGTAAGCCAAATATCCAGTGTTACAGAATCTATCAATATTCTCCGTCAAGCAGATGATAGGCGCCCTAGGCAATTCGTCATCATTGTCCCTGGCCCTAATGCAGCGGAATTCCGAGGATAAAGAAGCATACAAAAGATGCACAGCACAGACGGTAGAGCGCTTGTAAGCCATACCTCGGAAAGTCCATGGAGGTTTGCACCTCTGAAGAAGAGTGACCCGCTTCGTTGGTGGCGCTAGTACGAGTGGAGGAGCTCAGACGCTGCAAAGCACGTGGAGACCTGGGTAAAACCGTAATTCGTTGTGGGGCCGTCTCCTTTTATTTTTCCAAGCTCACTTTATTTTTTTTATTTTATCCTTATTTGTCTTATTTGTCTGATTTGTCTGCTTTTTAGTGTTTTTGTCTTCTTCTCTATTTCCGCCCGCCTTCTTTTCGACGGTCTGCCTGCCCACCGATTTATAACCCGCTGCACAGCTACGGAGTTTTTATTTTGGAGCTTGGCGGCCGTTCGCCCGTTTAGGCAATAGCATCCATTCACACGATGGGCGGTGTTCAGCTTTTCTTGGCTGATGGCTCACCAAGAGAAAAATAGAAAAACAAGAAAGACAAAACATATATAGCAGCGATATTAATAGCTCTACCTGTAAGAAGCCTTGGCCTTAATCCCCCTTATCAGACCACCTGGTTTTTTTTGTGTTTTGTTTTTGGTAACACATTGGCAAATAGAAAGGACGCTATTATCATGCACGCGGACGGCAGTTGTAGAGTGGCTGCCGCTTTCTTTGCAAATTAAGGCTGAAACCGCAAGCCACGTGTTGGTGATTCAGCAGTCTTTGAGCCTCAATAAAATGCTTACACCAATGCATCCCACTATAGCCAAAGTATTATTTACGGTGCAAGTCCGCCAAGACTATTATAAATGCCAAATACATCGGAATTCGAAAAATAATCAAACAAAATCAACAGTCACAACCAAATTAGTCATGCCACGATTATATTTGATGTTTGATAAGGGGGGCCACCGCACTTGTGGGCTGATGCAACCTTGTATGGTATCCCGGGACCCGTATTGCCATACTGTAGCAATATGGATACGGGATCCATAGAATAAAGGGAACAAGCACAGACAAGTATATAAAGCGGCCCACATCCGACTAAATGCCCAATGCCAATTCTAGTACGGTCATGTCCGTGCTTAGATAGTCTGACAGCCAAACGTGCCGAGGCACAGATCGGCCAACCGCGAGAGAGAGAAAAGGCAGACAGACGCATTGCTGCCTTTCAAGAGATTAAAGAATTTTTTAAAAAAAATGATTTTCTTAGCAACTGCCCACTTTTTGGCTGCCGCCGCCAGATCTGTCTACTAGGCAGGCCAAACACAGAAAAGCCGGCCCGACGCCAATTTGCTTGGCTTTACTCTTGATTTCTCGGCTTCTACCGAGAAGAGAAATTTTCTATCTGTTTCCCATGTGAAATACCCAATACATTCTAAAACCAAGCTTGTGATTTTTTTTTTTCTCGGCCGAGTCTCGCCTCACTGTGGAACTGCCAAACGTCAGTTTCACCGAGTTCTTATCCACAACGGCATCGTTTTGCTCGCATTCGCCTCGCTGAGGTGGTCCAATTAAACACGCCACCCCGTCCCATGAGCTTAAAAAATCCAACGCCGGACCAGAAACGTGACTTGTTCTAGAAGATATAATCACAGGCTGTGCCGAGGCTTGTCTTTTGCAGGAGGTGATGACATTCAACAGTTTTGTTATCTATGTTGAGAGAGTCTTGCGACTAGAAAGCGGCTTCTGAACGCCGCGCCAGTTAGAATGCCGCCAAGTGTAGAATTTTCTCTCAGTTATGGCTCGTGATTCTGACTCTGTTGGCTTACGTCTTTATATGCCATGCAGATCAGAAGACCAACTGACGAAATATCGCTTGAGAAAGAGTCGAAGCGAGGTATCAGCAGCCTCTACGGAGTACATTCAAATGTCACGGAGTCGGTGAGCCTAGGTAAGATGGCATAGTCATATGTAAGTATCATTGTAGCAAAACGGCCGGGATTCACCTCACTTTCGCCCGAGTCCGTTCGATGCAGAAACCAAGATCTTTTGCCTTGATCATATTTCTGTTGGACTATCGAAATGGCATCATTCATACCAAGTAATATGGCTGCCTCTAAACGACGACTGTATTACCACAATACGCTAGCGCATAACATTCCTGCTTGACATGGATATAGACGAAGTGAACCTCACTTCTGATAACAGTTCGCAAATCTCAGTAGTACAGATAATAGTCAATTAGCATGCCTGTCCCCAAGAACATTCTATTCTCGCAATAGCTTCGTCACTCTCCAGAGGCAGCTAAACAAGGCTTCAAGTGTACCACCAACGCACAGCCAACTTCCACTGTCCGTAATACAAAAAGCCCAACGCCATTTTCGTCTCTAGTAAACTGAAAGAATGCAACGTAGGCAGTATAGAGTCCATCCGGGTATTATCAACCTCTATGAGCAGAAATTTATGCATCGCTAATGCCTCCCCATTCGTCCTCGCTGCCAGTCCCAGAATCCTCCTCCTCCTCCTCCTCCTCCTCCTCGTCTTCATCTTCATCTCCCTTCCCTTCATCCACCCCACGGAGCGAAACAGCCACCCCCGTGGACTTCAGCACCGGCATCCCAACAACATCCCGCAAAATCCGCCCATCATCGTCGCGGAGATATGGACCCTCCCCTTCATTATCCCCGTCGGCATCAATAGCAGCTGTAGCCCCTAATGCATCGCTATCGTCAATCGAATCCCGCACGAACCCAGCAACAAAGAACCCCATCACCCCTCTGCCATCCCCCTTATACGACCGTATGCATGCGTCGGCAACAATCTCGTCACCCTCCGCGGCCTCGACCAATCCCCGGACGGGCCAGTCTCTCATGCCGCTTACCTGATCTTCTCTCCGTAGGATACGCCACCCTTTCGCTTTGGCAATGTCCGATGCCAGGGCTCGAATGACGACTCTTTCATTCTCTTGTGAGTGAACTGAGCATGTAGAGTAGGTAATCTTCTTAGCTCGAGGAAAGCGAAACGCATGTTGCAGCAGTGTTAGTTGGAATGCCGAGAGTGCCTCAAGTCGAGCTTCCAGGTCCTTTTCCGACTTCACCACCGTCTCGTTTCCGTCGTCATCCACCAAGACGTTCTGCGCACGCTCCTCAATTTCATCGTGGCTCCTCTTTTTCTTGTTCGCATTGGCTGCGCTCGGCTTTCCCTTGCCACCGCCACGGCCATCTGCCGGCGAATCGGGGAGGTGTAACTCGGGCATCGAATCGCGACCTACGATGCCACTACCCGAACAACTCGGATCCAGCAGTAGAGCTCCCACATCCTTGTAGTTTTCAGCCATGGGGTCAACCTGTAGAAAATCCTGCCCGAACCCTATGCGCGTTACATCCTTTGATCCCGCAATCTTGACCATCTTCTCCAGCGTCTGAGCTCTTCTCGAATCCTTCTCAAAGGCATAAATCGTCTGAGGCGCATCTTCAAAGCCAGGCCGATGTTCGTGAATAATGGCAGCCAGATGCGTAGTCTTATTTCCCGGCGCCGCACAGGCATCGATAACATCCCCATCCTCAGACCGCGGATCCAGCAGATAGGCCGGAAAACAAGACGCCTTGTCTTGTAGAATGATCTTTCCCGACGTGTACGCCTCTACCTTGGCAAACTCCATCCCTGGAGAAATAGCAAGCAGATTCGGCACATGAGGGTCAATGTAAATATGCCTGCCTGACTTTGTAACAATGTCTTGTATGCTCTCGGCTCTAGTGTGCTTTGAAAAGGTCGTCTCCAGCTGCTCTTCCACGCTGCTCTTGAGGGCGTTGACACGCACCCACCGCGGGTAATTGGCTTCTTCTCCAGCAGCCGCTCTTTCAACCTGTTCTCTCAAAGCGTCTATTGTCGGGGCCTTTCTCCTTAGCCTCGCCAGCGTCAGTTCTGAACTCAGCCGTCCCTTGTGACGCTCAATTGATGCCCTCAGTCCATGGCTCTGCGGCAGCGCAATCCCTTTCTTCGCGAGCAGTAAATCATGTACCAGCAGTAAAGCTAATGTAGGCGTGAGCTGCATAATGAAAAAGTAACAACAAAAAAAGTCAGCACTCACACGCTCACTACGCGGCTGTTGCAACACATATATATGAAAAAGGGCGGTATGTTATACGGAAACTCATATTACCTTTCGCTCCAATTTCAGTAGCTCAGTCTTTTCAATAACCTCCTTCAACACTGGACTCCATTTTGCACTCTCCAGCACGAGAGCATACAGCTGGCCCGGTGGCGCTTTGCCGTTCTTTTTGCCAAACACTCGCGATTTCAAGCTCCCACTCGAATTCGATGACGAGGACAGGATTTCTGCTGCCTCATGGTAAAGAGACATTATCTCAGAGAAGATATTTATAAGAAAATGGGATGATTGAATTGAAAAATAAAAAAAGGTTAAAAGGAGAGTATAAAGTGAAAAATAAGATATTGCTGAGATGGGCGAGCTCGTTGCGAGCAACAGAAAATATAAAATTAGCCGAAATTCAGCCGCCGTCCGATAACTTCAACGACCGTTGACCTACGTGCACTAGCTCCATTTACACACTTACACGCTCGCAGATGTTAATTTTCATCACAAAGGACACAACTTGATACAACAGATCGCGAATAAATCATGCCATGTTTACTTCTTTTGAGTCGCTCGTATACTTTTTATTCAGACTCTATAAGACCCAGTCATTCATAGACCTCCATTGATAAATGCTTGAAAATTCCCTTGCGGGAGGCCCCTTGACTGATCTGACAGATAAAAGGAACCAAGAAACGTAAAATATGTTACCAAAAATACACACGTGAGAATCGAAGTATCCAACAATCGCTCCAAGTTCAACAGATATCATTCCCGCTGCTGACTTGGTACCTTTACCCAAAGATCCCGCTACCATATATCCCTGGAATTTCACCCATGCAATGCTCAAAATACTCCAGAGCACTCAGCTCATATAAATCCTAAAATGCTAAATGTGCCAAGACAGCCCAAAACACCTTAGACGCGGCGGGCGCGGTGACGGTGGGCGTGCTGCTCAGAGCGGCGAGACTTGGCAGCGGTCAAGCTGACGGAGCCGGTCTTGCTGTAGACGCTGATGGCCCAGCTTCCACCGCAAACCTCGCTGGCGGCACCCTCGCAAGCGGTGGCGCACTGAGACTCGGCGAGCTTGGAAGAGCCGACGAGCTCGTTTCCACAGTAGCACTGGCCACCGTACTCGGTAGCGGCAACAGAGAAGCCCTTGGCAACGCAGTTGGCAACGCACTTCTCGTTGGTCATGGGGCCAAGGTTAGGCAGGATGTCACCGGTCAGAACACGGCCAATGTTGTCCTCGTAGCATCCAGCATAGGTGTATCCACCGACAGCAGAGTTGCCCTTGGTAGCAACAGAAGTGGAAGCAGGGGCACCGGCAGTGGCTGTAACGGTCTCAGTAACGGTGTGGACAGTGGCGGCACTGCACTGGTCGTCACCGCCGGCGGCGGCACCGCCAGCAACAGGCAGGGAAGTAGCAGGAGGGTTGGACTCACTGGTCTTGGAGCCAGCACCAGCAGCAGCCTTGGAGGAAGAGACAGGCTGGGCGGCTTTGCTGGTAGCAGCAGGCTTGGAAGAGCTTGCAGGCTTGGAACCGGCAGCGCCAGAAGAGCCAGAAGAGCCAGAAGAGGAGCCAGAGGAAGCGTTGTTAGTGGAGCTGGAGCTGGAAGAACCAGAGCTCATGGCAGGAGCCTCGTTACCGTAGGTGAAGCCGCTGAGAGGGTTGTTACCAGGGAGAGCAGTGAGGTTACCGGTGATCTGCTCGTTGACCAGGGGAGGAATGGTGCAGGAGCCGCTGTTCAGGCCGTAGGGCAGACCAGGGCACTGGTCCATACCAGAATCACCGGCGTTGCAGGTGTCGATGATGTGCTGGAGGACATCCTCATCCCAAGCAGCCATGAAATCGGCGTGGCCACTGTAGCCAGTAACGTCACCGTTGGAGAAGACAAAAGGCTGGGTGCCCTGGTTGGGGGTCCAGCGGCTGGCGAAGGGCTGGGTGTCCATGTAGGCCTCGTAGAAGATGTGAGGAGTGTGGATCCAGCCAGCAGGGCAGTCAGCCTTGCCATTGCCAGCATCGGTGGGGAAGGCAGTGTTGTTCTTGTAGTTGGTCAGGCCGGCGGCGGGGTTGTAGCAGGAGGGGAAGTGGATGTCCAGACGGAGAGGAGAGTACAGGCCGTCGCAGTTGACATCGGGGAAACCAGCTCCAGCGCCCTGGTTGTTGGGATCGACCATGCCAGCCTTGGAACCGTCAGATCCGACGGGATAGGAGGGAGGGTTGTAGGAGGAACGAGGGCAGGTGAACTGGATAGGCTGGACAGGGCCCTGGGAGGGGTCCAGCTTGGAGCCGCCACCAGCAGCCGGGGCGACACGGGTCATGGCATTGCCAGAGACCATCTGAAGGCCAGTGGGGAAGGCCTTGATGTCGTCGTTGGTGGCCTCGAAGAAGTAGTAGACGTTGGTGTAGTAGACGTCGACAGACTCTAGGAGCCCGGTCTTGGGGTCGTGGAAGTACAGAGTCGGGTACCAGTAGTTGGAGAAGTCACCCTTGACCAGAGCGGTACTGCAGTTGGACTTGAGCAGGTCCTGGCCGGTGGAGGAGAAGCCAAAGTTGCTGCCTCCGAGGACGTTGTGGACGTGTCCAGAGGGACCGCCGGGCTGGACAATGGGATCAGCACGAGTGGTGACCAAGCCCTTGTTGGTGAATCGCAGAACAGCAAAGGTTCGGCTGTCCTTGGCAGCCATGGCAGCGCCAGTCAGGGCGGCAGCGCCCGCGAGAGTAGAGAACTTCATGTTGTAAGAGAAGACGAAATGTAGTATATGCAGAATCGAGAGATGCTTTCGACGAGCGTGAGATGGTCGCTAGGACGGTTGTAAATAAATGCAACGGTGATACCTGAGCACCTTTGAAAAGAATGTGTATGTTATATGTGAGCCACGAAGGAATGTCGAATGTCGTTCGTGGTGAAAGAATGGATGATACAAAGAACGTAAAATAATGAAAAAGAATGCTATGTATCGGAAATGTTTAAAGGAGAGGAAGTGCCCAGCAACTTGGAAGATGAAGCGGCCTGGAGAAGGAAAAAAGAAGAAGAGACTCGAAAGGAACCCGGCGGCCTTGGAGATATATAAGAAAAAGTAAGCGACAGGGAGAGAAGGTGAGGCATCTTGGATATGGACGATTGAGGGTATACGGGTGGGGTCGAAGGAGTTCGTGCCTGTGCCTGTGCCTGTCCAGGTACCTGAACAGGCAGGGACAGGGGACACCCTGCTAATGCCGCTTGTGGCCAGCGCTTGTGGTGGGTGGATGCACAGAATGCGGCCTCGCCCATGTCGCTGAGAGCCCCTGGCGCCAGCGAGCCGGGCTTCCCACCAGCACACGCAGGTACCGGTACCTGGAGAGGCACCAGAGCGCTGCCAACAGCAGAGGAAGCTGTCCAGGAGGCAGAGAGCCAGGTTAAGCCCTGTGCTGGGATCCATGCGTAAATGAGAGATAGATTAAAAACAATAAAACAGGATTGGTGCAATTATATCGTCCCCAAATAGGCACTGCCCAAGTCAGTAATCTTGCCACGACCAGCTAGAAGAAGAGAGGATGGAGAACAACTGTGAATACCTCAGGCAACTCGCAGGATGCAGGCATGCGGCAAATGAATCGTGCATTTACAAGTCAATACTTGAGTGAATAAATGCTAACAAACAGCCCAGACACTAATGTATCAGTACACGAATACGCTCTTTTCTACCCCTCAACTCTCTTTCAGACACGCTGAGGTGAATGTGAGCGCACAAGCAAAAAGCCCTGCAAAGTTACACTTGGGAGACGCATCAATCCACTCAGTTCTGTTCAGCCAAGTAACTGCCTATCTCGTAGAACACAAAAGCACACACCAAGTGACAGCTAGGTAGGCATTCGTAAGCACAGCAAAAGTCAAAATATCAATAGCAGCAGGTAGCAACACCCAGAGAAACAAAACCCCCATCCCCCATCCCCCATCCCTTGCTCCTTTCTCATCGACTAGCACGCGGCTCTGGCTTCAAGTTTCTGTTCCTGCATTGGCGTCAGGCCCGTTTCAACCATTTCCAGGCCCTAGGCCGCGACGGGGCATAACCAGCCGGCGCGTGGCGGCGGGGAGGGCCCGTGGCTTGTTTCAACGGCTGCAAAGTGGCCTGCAAGTACCTGCTACGGCGTCCACCAGGCATTGCCGCCACCAGAACTGCCGCTGGCCCTGGGACTGCCTGCCTTGGCCACGCCGGTTACTGGTACTTGTACATGCAACTTCGCAGCTTTTCGTCCCAAAGCGCATATCCATCTCCCTGGGTTCCAAGCCTCTTGTCCCACTTCTTGGCTTGTCATCTGTCATCTACTCCAGACTCCCGTTCCGACCGAGCCCACCGTGCGCCTGTTAGTTTAGAGTACAAGTACTATAGTAGCACCGAAAATGTTAAAATTAGGCATCAAAAGCCGTTTGCCAGCCAGGCTGCGGGAGCGCCCTTTTACTCTGAACTACTACTTGTCCCTGTATGCTCCAATCCCCTTTTGCCTTCTTTGCCTTGTCGCCCATATATTACTTCGTGCATAAGGGCTGTATACATACTTTTTCGGAATTCCAGCCCATGTATCTCAACTCCCGCACAGATTGTATGGCGGCCGGCCACGTTTCTTGCGTGGCTGGCGCTAAATCCGTAGATCTGAAACAAAGTGTTTGCTTGGCCGCCTGACCGGGATCCGAAGTTGCATCGCGTCAATCTTACTGGACGTCTGCTGGGCTGAAGGGGCCATTTCACTGCAGCAAATGCACGCATCCCACCACTTTGTGCATGCAGTAGTACAAGCAGCGTCTTCCCTTCTTATCAACGACTTGTTGTTGGTTATGATTTGTTTCTGTTTGTTTGCTGCAGCCGACTATTAGAGTGGCTGCAGAAAAAGCAAAAACTTTACTCAGCTGTGTTGGCCCCTTGCATGCATCAGAAAACTTGAAAGCTTAGTATAGTAGTATACACCTCTTTCTTTCTTTTTTTCTTTCAGCTGCTATCCGTTCCTGTGTGCCGTGTTCCGTGCTTCCACCCCCTTTTCTTGTTCTTCTCCAAAAAAGAAAAAAACTCTTCTTCGGTGTCGGCCATGTTCACGACATACTGTATGGTATATGTGATACATACTTTCGATCGATGGGGGAAAGAATGGAGTCGTTCCATCAGTCTCCCTGCCAGTAATCACGCATCGGTCCACAGCTTCCAGAAGTCGTGGTGACATGGCCAATCAATTTCGCTGGGTGTCAACTGATTCTGCTGAAATTACGGATCGATGGAATCGAGCAGAGCAACGAGCCATCGGTCGTGATAGCCGAATCCATCTCCCTGGCCCTGAGCGACATTCTGTGGCCTAGACCGAGCATGGCATGGGGGCCCACCATCGTCCATCACCCATCACCCATCAGCCTGTTTTTTTTGCATAGTCTGCCCCGTACGACGTTTGTTCCGAGGCTACACCGCGTAGCCCTTCTTCTTTCAACTTTGATAGGGGCGCGGCTAAGGCAGACACTAACAGGAGTCTCGGGCATGCTTCCGGCCTAGTACGGTCAGTGTGGGTGTAGTCGTACCTGAAAACGCATTCCTGTAACTGTAAGTACCTAGATGTCAATACGAATATGTGATATTAGATACTGAGCGCTTGCGGGTATTGCAAAGGCGAGATACCCCGAATCCGACTCTCTGCCAGGATGGATTCCTTCACACGCCACCCGGTGGACAAGGGGCTTCTGTCGGAAACGCGGAGACGTGGGCACTTGAGGCTTACTGCTGGCATTACTCACATGCTGTATTGGTAATGATACGATGAGCCTCCGATTAATCGTATAGTAAGTACGGGCAGTCCTGCGTATTCATGTATTCTGTTGGCAGGCCAAGTTTATTCCCCTATTGAGTGCTCCTCGCCATCCTCTTTCAAACACATTTCCAAAGCCTCCAGTCCTCAGCATAGACAATGAACACGGATTCGGAGCAACGCACTCCCCGTATGGTACTAACGCGCGTTTACTCGCCTCTCGCCTTTAACTTCTCCATTTTGTTCTTCTAGTCTTCCTATCTTTCTGTACTGTACTCCCCATAATACTCCTATTCAAGAAGAGAAAAAGAGAGAGAAAAAAAATGCCGTGCCCCCAGAACTTACATGACAAGGGGTGGGAACGGCATGCCTTTGAAACGCACTAGCGCTGAGTGGCCTCGACGCCCTAGCCGATTGGCCACCTTGGCCGAGTAGAGAGACTTCAAGGTTGGCTTGAGGCTTACGACTTATGGTTGGTTTTGTCAGATACTGACTTGTGCTGCCCAAGTAGTAATAGGCCGAAGCTTGTGTGAGAGTAATGGCAAGATCTGGACCAGGGGCTGCGGGCCGGCAAACTCTTTCCCTTTTTTTTTCATATTCCACTATTATGCTGCTTAGAACTGCCATTAACACTAGCTAAACTACATGTGTTAAGCATACGAGCGTATTAGCAAGCGTATCAGCAAGAGTACGTGTAATAAGCCGCAGCTGAGCAAATGGGCTAATTTAGAAATAGTACAGGGTAACCGGTAAATAGGTCAAAGAGCTGATCTCACTCATACTCTTGCTACTGCATGCACATGGAAAGAGAGATACAAGTGACTTCATAGTAACTTGTTTTTAGACACGCAACCAAGAAATACATATGTTGAATTGGAAACATCAAAATGGAGATGTTAATACTAGTACGTAATCGTCTGTCAGTATGCCTCCAAACTCAAATTCAAGGAAAGACAATCAGCTCCAAATATGCACCCATCCATCAAGCTTCTCGCCAAGATCACTTTGCCAAGCAGTATTTGAAATATGCTCATGACACCAAAGTGCGGAGTAGTGCATCTGATGTTCCGCAGTCGTACAAAATGGCCATGGTCCCATACAATCCCTTCTGGGCTATTCGAGGTTTCAGTGCGGCACCACCCATCGTATATCAGACGATAGTCTCGGGCAGATTGCCGTTCTCTTTTCCCCTCTTCTCACATCTAGAACTTTGGATGGAGTCGAATCAGACAGGGGAATAGCCGAGCGAAGCGGTGTACGTACTAGCACCGCCTACTTCATATAACACCATCAAACTCGAAAATGATAAGGGGGCCAAGGTAAATGAGGCCCTCCATTCAAGGCCATGACTGTCGTACAACGGGCGAACCTTGTGTTCTACTCATTTTCGTATACGTAGATGGCTAATAGTACTACTAATCAGCGTTGGGCCATGCATGCGATAGTAATATTGAGCCCCCGCAATTACTTGCATTCATTTTCCTCCCCTCTTCCCCTGGTCTTGGAATCCGGTGAGAGAATGTCATTGCTCATAGCAGACACTTGATATGGCCCCACGCCTGAGCTTTCCCCTTTATATTAGGCGCCGGAGAGAGCGCCTAGAGTCCGCACGTGCGCGCTGGGCTGTTATTTCTGGTAATTGATAGCCAGGGTATTCACATATGATATACCGTCGCGGAGTATAGAGTAACGGCGGGTCGCGCGCGTCTATAAGAGAGATGTTCCCTACAAGCTATATATGCCAAGAGCTACTATAGTGAGTCCGTGTACTCGGTGCGCAGACGATAGACTTGGACATATTGACGGGAGCGGAACACACTATGCAGAACCCAGATGCCATCTTATGCCCGTCTCTATGCTGTCAAAGGTACACGGGCACAATGGCCGGAGAAAATAAGCACCTGTTTTGCCTCTTATGGAATACGCAAGTAGCAGCTTCACAATAGAAGCATGCTCTCCCATTTAGACA